ATAATTTCAACACTGAACAACAATTGCAACCCTTGGTATATTTATACCCATAACTTTGAATCAAACTTTTTCATTCTTCATATCAGTATTTATAATTTTGACAAGGCCAGCAAAGGAATTCCGAAAACCGCTGTAGATTAGAAAAACTTTAAATCTTGTTTAGTAGGGGAATATTAGCAAACACTGTAAAGAATGACAAGCTTCCGCTAATTCCAAAATTTGTTCTTGATTTCTAAGTAATCTCAGTCCGTCAATGTACCGTGTAACAACTTTGAATAAAAGTATTTGGTATCCCATGTACCTTCGTTTAAATTTAGTGAGTCTATCACAGCATCACACCTTATAAACAATCAGCTGTGGCACTAATAATATATTGCTCGACCATGGCTGATTCACAAGATTTGGTGAAATCAATTATGATGGTAGAAGAGACTCTTCATAGTCATATATGTCATATATAACTGGTCAATGGTCTTCAGTGGTAGGTTCTTCATGTATCCTTTGTAATAACAATATACACTTATCCAAATTCTGGCAAGATAAAACAATCCTTCATTTCCGGGTAAAGTTTTTTTAAACTCAGTCACGTGCTAGTGTCGATTACCTAAGAAATGACATAATCACGATAGCGTACGTAATCAGTGCTGCTCGGACCGATGCTCAAATTTTTTTTTCTATACGTACATTTAAATTTATTATAGGTGAAAATGAAAAATTGTGGGTATATATCGATAGTTGTATTGCTGTAATATATCGTGGTGTGTTTGTGGTTAGATCTTATAGAAACTGAATATGAGTTCTTCACTAGAGGTATGTTCACTTGGGCTTGGAAATCAGAGTTCTTGTTCACTTTCATTCTAGTACGTCTAGTATTTATGTCCCGTATACTAACATTTATTTCATAGGAAAGACTAAAGAATAATTCAAGTGCCTTTGATGGGTTATTATCTTTGATTCCTGCCAAATATTACTATGATGATGATACACAAAACCAATGGAAGGCTAAGAAACAAAGTAAAGAAGAAGCAAAGGAAGCTAAAAGAGCAAAATTAGATCCTTCACAATTTGAATCAAATGAAAAAAGTGCATCAGCTTCTGAAGTTTTGAAGAAAAGAGCTGCTAATGCTAAACCTGTTGTATTACCAGGTTTAAAACAAAAACCTGTTCAAGAATCTGAATCTGAAGATGAAAATGATAGTGATGAAGATGAACAAGATGAAAGTAATGATGATGATAGTGATGACCACCAAATTCCAGAACCAAAATCTATAAAACAACAAAATGGTAAACAATCCAATGAAAAGCAACAAGAAACAAAATCAAAATCACAAAAAAATAACAATAAAGAAGATGAATCAAATGATGAAGAAGAAGATATAAATATTGTTTTTGATGATGAAGGTAATGAAATTGAATTACATAAAGAACAAGAAAGAAAATTACAAAAAGAACAACAACAACAGAAACAACAACAAGCACAAGGGAAAAAACCATTAACTGAAGAAGAAAAATTAAAGAAAGAAGAATCTTTAAAAGCTTTAAAAGAGAAATTATCATCAAAAATTAATATTTTAAAAGAAAAACGTAAAGCTCTTGGATCAAAAGCTGCAGGTGCACCATCTTCAAGAGAAGCAATCTTAGAAGAACGTCGTAAGAAAGCTGAAGCCAAGGCTGAAGCAAGAGCATTACAAAAAAAGAGAAAAGCTGAAGAATTAGATGATGAAAGTGGTAGTGGAAGTGATAGTGGAAGTGATGCTGAAAGTGATGTTGAAGATGATGGTATGAGTGCTAATGGTGTCTTATATCAAAATATTAGATTTAATGATGATGAACGTACAACATCTGATTTATCAAAACTTAGAAAACAATCAAAGAAAGGTCCAGCTAAAAAGGATTTAAAAGCTCATTTAAAATTATTAGAAGCTAAAAAACAAAAATTATCACAATTAGAAGATTCAAAACAAAAAGAATTAAATGAAAAAGAAAAATGGAATTCAGTTATTGCACAAGCTGAAGGTGAAAAATTAAGAAATGATGAAAAATTATTGAAAAAAGCTTTGAAAAGAAAAGAAGCTTTAAAAAGAAAATCAGAATATGAATGGAAAGAAAGAAAACAAACTGTTCAAGATAGTATTAGTGCCAAACAAAAAAGAAGAGAAGAAAACTTACAAATTAGAAAAGATAATAAAGGTATTAAACGTAAAAATCAATCAAAACAAAAAAGAAAATTTAAAGGTGCTATTGTTCCAAAACGTGCAGGGTTTGAAGGTCGTAGATCAAGAAAATAATTTAATCATTAATAGTTTAATAAAGTTTCATGCAGCATATTATATATTTTGTTTATTCATATTTGAAAAAGTCTTGTTTGTATTATAGCATATATTATTATTAATATATAAAAAAGCAGTCTATATTGTTATGTATTTATTGATATTTATATGTATATGATTATGTTCATTATGTCTACTTTATACGGATGCTGAATTCACTATAAATTTTCTTGACTATTAGATTTGAATTGTTTATCAACTTCTTCATCACCAGTTCCTGCATATTTTGAAGTTGCCCTTAATTTTGGACCATTGAAATAAAATAACACAGGCGCAGATATCAAAAAAATTGCTATGATACCCAAAATTGTTGAACCCCATGCAACAGGAAATTTTTGTGTTGAAAGATTCTTGAATAATGCCCTACCAAATAATGGGAAACATCCACCAAATATAGATCTCATAAAAGCATTACTTGCAAATGCAGATGCAACATACTTATAGAAAGACATCCCAACATAGTTCAATAATGTTTGAAACATGATAATACCAGATGCACCATAAAGACAACCACCAATTAATGAACCAAACCAATGATTTGTTGTCGTTGCAGACCAACCAAATACAAAAAGAGCCATTGGTAATAATGTACTACCAAATATAGCAATTGGTAAGAATGCCTCTGGATGAACAACTTCTTTCCTTATCATTGGGTTGGTATATTGCTTAAATGTTAAGCAAATATAAATAGACACACCACATAAGGTACCAATGACAATTGTCATGTAAGTTAAAGCTGATCCCATTGTTGATAGACCACGAACTTCACCATAATAATAAGGAAATGCTTCAAGCCAATGATACATGATTGCATATAGTATAGAAATATAAATGTTAATCAATAGGACAATTGGTTCTAAAAGACCAATCTCAAAAGGTCTCAAAAACATCTCTTTGAGTTTTGCACTTATAGATTGTTGATTATTTTGATTTAAATCTTGTTCAATGATCAAATTTGGATTCCCTGTTAATCGACGTAACCTTTCAGCTTTCTCATTTAGGATCATTGGATGATAAGTTTCAGGCATAAATAATAAATAAATGATAGAACAAACACCTGTGAATATAGCTAAGAGCCAAAAATTCCATCTCCAATCATTAGTTTCAACTTGTAAGACTGCCCCAATAACAGGACCTAAACTTGTACCTGAATAAGCACCAACTCCCCAAAGTGCTAAACCAACAGGCATATATGGTAATGAATACATCTCAACAAAAACCCCAGCACTAAGTGATAAAGAAGGTGAAGCAAAAATACCACCTATGAATCTCAATATGGTTAATCAAGCAATGTTTTTAGCTAAAGCAGTTGGGATTTGTAGTATTGTAAATATGAATAAAGTAACTATGAAGATTTTATTTCTTCCAATTGATTTATGCTCAGATAATGGACCAAGAATCATTGGACCCATACCATATCCAAAGACAAACAAAGATAATGGTAATGTAGCTTTAACATGATTGATTCCAAACTCTTCTTGCAATTGTTCTATACCTGGTGTATAATTTGCTGAAGCAAAATAAGTAAACAAGGAAATGATATAATGGATAAAACTGACATAGATACGAACTGATAATGGCCAATTATGTGGATGTTCAGGATCATCTTCGCCATCCCAAGTAGCTAAAATGTACTCTCTATGCTGTGTATACTCCTTAGTTCCCGTACTATCATTTTGTGTATCTATAAGCTTTTCTTCTTTATCTATATTTGTGCTTGACGTAGTTGGTTTCAGTAGGTATTTTTCGGGTATTATGTAGTCTCTTTTATCCTCCCTGTGTTTGAAAAACTTTCCTCCAGATGCTCTATTTGCAATTTTTCCAATGTGACTCCCTCTCAAGATCAGTTTTATTGGTTCAAATGACATGACAGTACTTATAGATGATATGTAAAACGGTTTTAATTGCCCGTGAATATGCTTTACTTAATGCTCAGGGATCTCATTAACGTTATGGCTGCAAAAAAACAGAGCTATCCGTCTTATATATAATCTACTCATGATATCCACTACAACACAGATATATTAAAAATTCATAATATGCATGGTTATAGGATCATCATCATAAGCAGCTCAAAATTTAGGGTACCTTAGATTATTAATGGAATTTCGAAACGACAGGCACTTATGAGTTATAGTACCTATATATAGAACCGCCTTTGGCCAAATAAAAGACCAAAGTTGAGTTTAATATCATATATATATATATATATGTAAACAGACCAAGTGGATATTCTTGTAGCTAGATAATATCTTGTATGGTTCAAAAACTAGTACTTGGTTGAAGGTTCGTTCAAAGCAAATTAGAATTTAGCCTGGTATTTCTTTTCCGGAACTCCATATTGAGCAGGGCGGAAATCCGTTCACATAATAAAAGTAATTTATACGTCGTGTTGATCTGTTTATATATACTACATATATATGCTTACATTACAATCATTATTTTCTTTTGCTAGATCTTTGAAGGACAAACATGTCATCAATAACTCGATATTGTAGTGACGTTGTGACTTCGATCAGTCGTAATAAGATTATACCTATGATACCCCAGCTACAATATAGATGAGCAAGAAATTAATAGAACGCCAGAATATGAATCAATGAGCATATAAGATCTATTATATAATATTCAATCAGACACACGTCTATAAATTTCTTTCGCTATTAGATTCAAGTTCTTCATCGACAATTTTCTCACCAGTCCCTGAATATTTTGATGTTGCTCTTAATTTTGGTCCATTAATATAAAACAAAACAGGAACGGAAATTAATAAGAGAGTTAAAACTCCTAAGATTGTTGAACCCCATGCAACAGGGAATTTCTTTGTTGAAAGATTTTTAAAGAAAGCTCTACCAAATAATGGGAAACATCCACCAACAACTGATCTCATAAATGCATTACTTGCAAATGCAGAAGCAACAAATCTGAAAAAAGACATACCAATGTAATTTAATAACGTTTGAAACATTATTAGGCCTGATGCTCCATATAAAGCACCACCAATTAAAGAGCCAAACCAATGATTTGTTGAAGTGGCAGACCATCCAAATATAAAGATCCCCACAGGTAATAATATACTACCGAATATAGATATTGGTATAAATACTTCTGGATAAATAGGTTCATCTCTTAACATTGGATTAGTGTATTGTCTGAAAGTGACAAAGATATAAATACCAACACCAATTAAAGTACCAGTCACTATAGAGAGATAAGTCAAACCTGTTGTCATTGTACCAAATCCTCTGATTTCACCATAATAATAAGGAAATGCCTCAAACCAAAGATACATAATTGCATATAATATAGAAATATAAATATTGATTAATAAAATCACAGGCTCAAATATACCAATTTCAATAGGTCTCCACAAAATTTCTCTGATAGATTCACTCACAGTTTGATTCTTTGAATCTATATCTTGTTGTACAACTATGTTTGGATTCCCAGTTAAACGGCGCAATCTTTCAGCTTTTTCATTTAAAATCATTGGATGATATGTTTCAGGAATAAAAGTCAAATATATAACGAATAATGCTGCGGAAACAATCAACAAAAACCAAAAACTCCATCTCCAATCATTAGTACCAACTTGTAACGCAGCACCAACAACTGGACCTAAACTAACTCCCAAATAAGCACCAATACCCCAAAGTGCAATTCCCACAGGCATATAAGGTAACGAATACATATCAACAAAGACACCACCACCCATGGCTAAAGAAGGAGAAGAGAAAATTCCAGAAATGAATCTTAAAATAGTTAATGAAGTAATATTCTTAGCTAAAGCTGTTGGAATTTGTAAGATGGCAAAGATGAATAATGTAACAATGAATATTTTAACTCTTCCAATTGATTTATGTTCAGATAATGGACTGAAAATCATTGGACCAATACCATACCCAATAACAAATAAAGATAATGGTAATGTTGCCTTAGTTTGATCAATTTTAAATTCTTCTTGTAATTGTTTCATACCTGGAGTATAATTTGCTGAAGCGATATATGTGAATGTTGACATGACACCAGTGATAAAACTGACATAGATACGGATAGGTAATGGCCAATTATTTGGATTCTCTGGATCATCTTCACCATCCCAAGTAACAATAATGTATTTTGAATCTAAGTCATAAGTTGTAGTTGATGTACTATTTGGTGAACCTGTACCTATGAATTCTTCTTCCTTGTCATTTGATTCATATTCATCTTGATTCAGGAGATATTTCTCTGGTATGACATAGTCTTTTTCATCTTCCTTATGAATCAAAAATTTTCCTGATGAGGCTTTATTGATTAATTTCCCAAGGAAACCTGCTCTCAATATAAATTTGATCATCCCTGTGCTAGACATATTGTTGCTGGGTTATATGTTATATGCTATTATATTATTACCACACATATCTCAAGAGCCTTAAATCACGAGCATTCTCCTTGGTATTTATATGGTTCATGATATGGATAACGTTTGTTATGCAAAAGGTTCAATTTGCATTTATAATCTCAATCTTATAAATTAATTATTTCAATGGGTAGTATAATGAGAAATATTTACAGTTTTCTCATCGTCGTAGTATAATTATCTAATCCTGATTTGTAGTTCTGCTCTGCGCTTATATAATATCATTTAACCAACTTAATTTTGTAAGTATTAAAGTCATGATTAGGGGCATTTAATATTATATATACCCATATTCTGTTAATTTGTCATCACAATATTTTTATATATCTTTATATTTCACTATTATTATCAGTGGTTGGCCGGGATTTAATCTTACGGTTGAGAACGATTGATATTTATAAAGCGAGGAATATATTTCAAATTTTACTAAACAAAATATCTCTCAGAGTTGATATAAACCGTATTAGCATCAGCTTTGAACCCATTAAATGGTGAAGCAGCAGCTGAGGTATAAGCTCCCAAATTTGGGAAATATAACCAATCACCAACAACAACATTATGTGATAAATAAGTAGATTTATTAATACAATCTAATCCATCACAAGTTGGACCCCAAATTGAAACTTTAAATTTATCATTCGAAGATTGATTTAATTCACCAAATAAAAATTCATCACGATTTGTTAAAACATGAGCTTCAGGTTGTTGATGATCAAACAAAATACAATTCATATTACCATAAACACCATCATTAATATAAATCATTGTTGGTTCATCTGATTGTTGTTGATCAAAGATTCCACCTCTTCTTGCAATAACATGTGTTGCTAAAGTAAATGCATTAGCAACAAAATAACGACCAGGTTCTGCAATGATATTAACACCATATTCAACAGGGAAGAATTTATCCAAGGCACCACTCAATGCCTTAGATGCATGATCAAATGATTCATATGAAAACCCACCACCAACATCTAAAGTATTCATATTGAATCCCATGGATCTACCAATGTTGAAAACATTTCTTGAATCATGAACAGCTTTAATTAATGATTCATTATCACTTGCACCTGAACCAACATGGAATGAAACACCTGCAATGTTTAAACCTAATTCTTTAGCCAAATTTAATAAATTTGAAACATTTGATAATGGTGCACCATATTTTGTACTTAATCTACATTGAGCACTTTCATCATCTGTAATAATTCTTAATAATAATTTACAATTTGGATGAAATTTCTTAATCTTGTATAATTCATCTGCATTATCAAATGTAGTCATACCAACATTTTGCTTTTGAGCAAATCTTAAAAATGAACCAACTTTACACGGATGTGCATAAATGATTCTTGAAGGATCAATACCTAATGATAAAATCAATTCAATTTCACCCTTTGAAGCACAATCAAAATTTGCACCTAATTTAGCTAATAATTTTAAAACTTCTGGATTTGGATTACATTTAACTGCATAAAATGGATGAACTCTTGGTAATGATTGTTTCCAAATTTTAAATAATCTTTCAATTTTACCTAAATCACAAACAAAAAATGAATCTTCAGCACCTGGTTCACAAGTTTCATAATTAATTTTAGAAATTTCTTCATTTAATGCCTTTGAAATCAATGCTTCGCTATATGGAGTATCTAATGAAACAATACTTGATTGAGGGATATGATCTTTTAATAAATCAAAATTGAAAGATCTTGAATTTGATTCTGATCTTGAAATTTTAAACTCAGAATTAATCAATTCATGTTGTAATAAAGAAATTGGTTCTTCAACAACATTTGATGAATTGGTTTGAACCGTAGTTGAAGTTGACATATGAACTGATGGATGAACAATAATACTTGAGTTATTGATATTTTTCACGTTTGATTTTCTGGCAGTATCAACCAGTCTCAAAACGGATTGCTTTCCTTTGGTAGACACTTTGAACTAATTTTTTTAATAACAGAATGAAAGGTATGTAATAAATATAAACCTTTCAAACAACTATCCAATTAAGAAAATAATTTAACGGATTGACTTTTTATGAAGAATTCTGTTTTTTATATATGAATTCTATGGAGCTTTTTGACCAAGTACTAAATTTACCAATTGATCTAATAATTACCTATGAGGGAATTAAAATTAGTGTTATGTATAGCTTCTTGGTGATATTTTGAACCTTTCTTTTTGCAGAGTAACGTAAACAAACAAATTAACTGAATATTTCGTCACTTAAGAACGATTTGGTGGACTTTTTTTTGAGTGGTTTTTTTTAATTGGTGGAATGTATTAATTAACAAATGGTAATTAATGGAACTGTGTATATCTTGGAATAACACAGTTTAACGTTGTTGACTTTCAGGCGGCAGCTCTCGTGGTGATGTAGTATCGGGAAAGAGGGAACCTGTTTGAGTGTCGAATTGTGATTGATGGATATAATACTAGTATAATCTCTGACAATGTGGTAGATTATACTGTACTATATTTGACTTCTTTCTTGTTTAAAATGACCAAACTTTGAGCAAATCTGGTGCAACGAAAAAAGAATCTGTGTAAATAGCGAGCTTTGAACTTGAGCAGCGATATGGATCTAGTCTCTGATGACTTGTAACTCAACTGAGTATCTTCAATCTGATGAATACCTTGTTCAAAAGGGAAAGGTAGAAAAAAAAATTCTTGATCTTTTGAACTTTTTTGAATTTTTCAATTTTGTTTGCTAAGAAAAAAACTTGGTGCTTCGGGCTTCGAAGTTCGCGATGCCAAAAATGTTCTTGGAAAATTCAAACACTTTCGAATTGTAAACAACGATTGAAAATGGGCGTGTCAGTTGGAAAAAGGTTCATTTGAAGGTGTTATGGTGGTTTAGATGAGAAAGGTGATGTGCTCATATGATTCTGTGACGCTTGTTTGATGGTTATCGCTTTTCCACGGGTTCATTTGGACTACTGCACCAGGAGTTATATGTTATATGATTATGTATTGAACTGAAAGTAAACAAACTAATTATACAAAATTAAATAAACCCAAAGAATTCTCCTAAAATGACAAAAATATAATGCTATAATATATTAATAAAATAAAATCCCAAAATTAATTAAAAATGAAGTGAAATTGGTATCAGCTGGTGATCATTTTGATGGTCTTTCTTTAACTTCAACTTCACTACTACAATGCAAACATTTATAACCCAAATGTGAAGAACCATCATTATTTTGAATTTCAACTTTCCCTCTACTCTTCATGGCTGTCCATTCACCTTTTGCAGGTATTCTACCACATGAGGATTCCATACATCTTGCACCTGTTTTCTTATATCTTAATCCACATGAATTACATAGTTGTCCAGCACTTGTTGACCAACTTGGTCTCCAACATGGTGATTGATCTGATCCACATGATATACATTTTCTTTTATGTTGGTTATGATGATGAATTGTATATGTATGATTTGGACCTTTATGATTTTGTGTATGAATGAAATTATTGGTTTGAATGACAATATCTCTTGCTGCTTGATAATTCTGTTGTGATGGTGGATAATTTTGATGTTGATGTTGTTGGAATTGATGATGATCTGATTGAGTTGGTGAGGATTGTGTTTGGAATTTGTTATACCTTATTTCATTTTGATCATGATCTTGATATTGATTTAATGAATTTACAGCTGTACTGATTGGTGGTAATGAAATACGTTGTGATGGTTGTGGTGGTTGAACTTGTGGAACTTGTGGAACTTGTTGTTGTTGTGATGATATACTTGAAGCTGGAGCAGTTGGTGAAGTTGGTGTATGATCAGCTGAAGTATAAGTATAATTTGATTCATATGGGAAATTAACTTTAGTATTGAGTTGTGAAGGTAATGCAATTGGTGATGAATGTGTGTAACCATTGGAGTTTGGGACAGTATGTTGATGATATGGAGATGAAGTTGTTTCATCATCTGAATGATCACTATAAACTCTTTTACCATATGGTGATGATTGATAAATTTTCTTATTTGAAACCATTTTTTTACTAATTTTGGAAGTGAATTTTGGTTTTTTATATCTATGTTCTCTATCCAATTGTTCTTTTAATTCAGTTAATAAGATTGCATTATTTAATAAATCAAAACCTGGTTTATCTGAACGTAATAAAGTTTTCAAATTACTGAATTTTTCAGGGAAATTTTTTTCAATCCAAAGTTCTAAATTTAATCTCCAATCATCATCATTAATACAAGTATCTGGATAATCTAATGAATAATTTGAAATACCACCATATCTTTTATTTTGTTTAAGATATTTGAAATCATTACTCATAACAGCTGGTAATAAAGTTGATTGTTTTGGTAATTTAGTTTTTAATGCAGTATTAGCAATTGTTAATGGTGAACTTTGTGGAGTAACTAAAACTGTTGGTTCAGATTCTGATGATGATGTAGCTGATGTTGATTGCTTTGGTTCAATTGGGATTGATAATGATGGTAATGGTTTCAATGGAGCTGATTCATTAAATGAAGAAGGTGGAGTTGGTGATAATGATCTTCTTGTGAAAACTGAAGCTAAAGGTGGTGAAGGTGGTGCAGTTCTAGCTCTTTTATTTGATTCTTCTAATGGTTCAAGATCTTCAAGATATCTTTTTCTTTTCAAAGTGGAATCATTATGAACTAAAGGATGTAATAAATTTGATGATGACATATTATTCATATGAGAGGAAACAATGCTCATGTTTTCTTTGTTGAAGCGAATGTGATTTGGAAGTTGTGACTTAATTTTTGCTGATTATGAAATATGGTTAACGTTTAAATTAACCTTGTGTTAACGTTCTGTTTTTTTTGATGTGATTTTATAAATCTCTTAGTGATACCACAGTAACAAGCAAGGATGATCTTGATCAACAAAATTATAAATTATATACCCTTGATAAAGGATTAAAACCTTTGAACACTGGTGGTGATGAAGTTTGTTGTTGTATTGATTGAATTGATTAAATATTGAATATCTGAGCTGGCTTTAACTGGAGTTGAAGAGGATCAGATCAGGGTATTAATTATTTTAATCAAGAAATAGAATTTGATTTAAGATTTCTAGTTTTTTTCTTATTTCGTGGATGTTGTGGGAAAATCACCTGAACAACAAAAAATGTAATAAGATTGAAATGGGAATTAAAATGTACCCGATTTGGAAATTTAGATTTGAAAGTTGAGTCTTCTTTAAAAATGAGTGGAAGTTCAAGTCCGTGAAAATTGTTATTAAAAGAATGAATGACTTGAGATAAAATGTTTCAATGAATGAATGACTTCAAAGTTGGATTCAAAAGAATGAATGTGAGGTTTAGTGAATGGAGTGACAAACAATGACTGTATAGTTGGATCAAAAGAAAGAAGAGAAGAAAATACAAATAGAATCATATATTTCATAAAAGTGGCATCCTATTGAACTATATAGAATTCTAATTCTGAAAATGGTTGGAACTTGTACCTTTCAGGAATCCAAGGTGGGTACTGCATGCCACCAGATCTCACATATATTTAGTGTAATCGTTTTGTTAGATCATGTAGATTTCCAAAACTGGTTGTGATGAGAAGGCTGGTGGTTCCCTTTAAAGAACATGTATTTGATCCAGATCAGAAAAAGTTGATCTAAATAAGGGGCAAGGGTAGATATTATTACTGATGCGAACCCGCCTGGCTTGCCTGATGTTTCTCGTGTAATGAATCTTAAGCGGGCTGGCAAACGCTGGCTGGTTTCTCACTACAGCAAAAAATTCGAATCTTCCTTGCAGATTTTTAAGTTTTCCCGATCGGGATTCATTACTTTTCCTAATTCGGAAGAATAAGATTTTGCGAAATCTAGGAAGCGTCCCGATCTGGCGTCTTTCCTGATTTGGGTGATTTTTACGGGTTTTAAATTACGCGCATATGGTATATACGTACCTATATTTAAACCAACTCGAATTATGTTACAGATCAAGTTAGGCATCCTTGTTTTAGCTAAATGATTGGAGTTGAGATAGTATTGTTTACGCTGGATCAATTAAAGCATTAACCAACCACGAGACGATTAGCTTGCAAGTATAGCTTTATTAACAATTCGGACCTTATCTATGTATTGATGACGTTGATATCTAGCCGGTATCACGAGGTATGAAGCGCGATCAACACCAATATGAAGTATTACCTTGGAGTGATGTACGACTAACGAACTTTGGTACAAATACCCTAGCTAAGGCCAGTAAATTGCGATTACTCAAACTTGTTTGCTTTGAGCATTGGAAAGGCTAGCTCAGTTGAAAACAGTTTATCACAGCATCACAGCACATAAATTGTTATATCTGCCAGGGCTTACCTATATCTTGACACAAAGATAGAGAGAGAAATTAGCCATGACGCTTTTAGTATTGCAGCTACTACTGAGTTTAAGTTTGTTTGTGTCATATTGAGCTTATCAAAATTAATTTCAAACCAATTGATTCAATGTGAGCTTTATTTCAATGATCTATACTGATCTATATTAAAGATGTATTGGATCATGTCATACGAATAACTTCAGTTGTCTACTGAACCTCTAATAATACATTTGAGATCTTTAAGACATCACTCGTTGATCTATTAATATTAACAAACTTTTAAATATCCAAATCAGAGAACATAATTGGTATACTTGAATCATCTAAAGCAACATATCGACCTAAAACAATATAAAATCAACACTCTATGAAACACAAACAAAAACGACCGATATACAAAACATATACAGTTTAAAACGTATACTTTAACTTAAAAACTCAATTGTCACTCTTCTCTAACCCTTCTACAGCTTGTGCTGGAGTTTTTGAAAATGACTCTGAAGCTGTAGATTTTGAAGCATCACTTCTTGTACCTTTACTATCATCAGTAACTTCTTCATTATGATGATATGAGAATTTTTCCCATTTCTCTTGTTCCATTTGATACTTGGCTAATTTTTCATATAATTCATCCATTCTTTTATCCATATCAATAGCTTTTGCAGTTTTGGGACTTGGTGGCTTCTCTCTTTGGTACTTTGATGGATTGCTATTTCTTTCTGGATCAGATTTCGGTATAGGACCATCTTTTATTAATCTCCATAAAGTTGACATACTTGATTTTGTCAAATAGTTTTTTATAAGAACTAGTGTGAATGTTGATAATGATATTGCAAACGCAAACCAAACTAGGCAATGGAATGCTGTGTTGCCAAATGTGGCTTTGATGCCTAATGAACTATTATTTAAAGCTGTTCTTGTTGTTGAAAATAATGAAATAGATGATGCAGCTGAAGCCAAATATAATATAGAGCTCACCAATATCAAAACTTCACCTGCAAGAGACAACCAAGTGAGCCTTGATACAATCAAATCAATCACAGCAGTTAAGATTGTAATACCATTCAATATTAGTGCTACCAATAAGCAATAAAGAATTGCTTTTCTATCATTAGCCGAAGGATTTTCATCAAATTTTGGCAAGTCATCTGGTAAGCTCAAATCAATATAAGACACTTGTTTAGTACTTGGGCTACCAAATTGTTTTATTTCTTTCAAAAACATCAGTTTTATATCAGGAAAGAACCCTTTGACACATGATTTCACAACTTGTTGATCACTTCTGCAATAACTATCTGTACCTATAGTATAGACCTCAGAAAGCCCAGTTTCTTGAAACGACGCGTCCCTAAACTTTTCATTTGGTAGTATCTTTTCAATATTCAAGTCTTTCATCTCTAGCTTGAGCTGGTATATATTTCTTGATGCTATACTCGATGTTTTAGACCCTATTATTGCAAAGATGCCAAGTACCAAGGACACTATGGGAAGTACCACCGTCAATATCCCAAGGGTATTCAAATGTTGTAGCTTTTTCATAATTAACTATGACTATTTGCTTATGTTTGTATTTTCTATTGTCTCTTTGTTCTATTGTGACGTTAAAAGTGTTATTTATAAGAATTTCAAATCAAATATCCTATAATTTTACGAGTTTCGGCTATGAAAAATTTGGTTGGATAGTATGCAAAAAAGTGGGAGTCAACGCATATTGGCTGCTTCTTTCTGGGGTCAAGACTGGGTAAGATCTAAAGTATACAAAAGGGTCCTTTAACTCCTTTCCAAAGAATTCTTTCGAAACTATAACGTGACTATTTAAACTCACAACCAGCTAGATCAGACAATATTTAAGTAAAATCTTCACAATTTCCTGCTTTTATTTCTCTTTGTCACATTGTCACATTGTCTAGGAACTTTGCCGAACAATAATTTATCTAGCTATATTACGTAACGTTCCGGAATATACGCGCTCCTGACAGATTAGGCAGCTCGACTATAACATTGAGCGGCCTAGACATATATATACAAAGTTATGAATGATATAAAGCTACATCACAACAACAATAATAATATAAAGTTTTCATTGTTATATGATCTTCAAGTTGTAATTATAATTTCATAAATCCTTCATGAGCCATTAATTTAAATAAAAATTTATAAAAGGGCATTTCATAACCCATATAAAAAGCACTATCAATTAAATTTTCTAATAAGAATAATGCATCTTCATAAACGAATTGTAAATATTCATTATCTCCATTAGTATTTTGATTAATATAATCACGAAGATAATTAATAAATAATACATTTGGTGGTGAATCTGATGTAAGTTTAATTTCATCAACTCCTAATAATCCTTCAAATTTTGTACCTGATATTAAAACTTTACATCTTTCAGTTATATTCATTAGTTTATAATTAAAATTCAAGACTTTCCAAACACCAGATTCCATTAAAGTTTTCCTAGGTTCATTAGGGAAAACCATCATTGAACAATTTAAGATAACTGTTATGGAAATTATGATCCCAATTTGATCAATTGATATCTTGTTCATTTCTAATTCATCAATAAATTTTGAAAAATCATTAAGAGTTATTGATTGATGATATTCACCACTTTTTATAAGTTTTAATTTTTCATTATGATCATAATTTGTCTTTAATTGTAATAATTTTGTATAACTTGTTGAATAAATTCCATTTTTAATCATTGGTGAAATTTGCCATAATGTTGGAATTGTTCTAGTCCAAAAATTCCAACCTTTTGGATCAACTTTATTTGAAAACATTGTACAGCCTATAGTATTATAACAATCTAATGATTCTAATTGATGAGGTGTTATGTTTAATTGTGAAATTGTAGAATTTAAGGATCTTATAAGTTTGTTATCAATATTATTACCTTATGGTGATGTTGATGATGATGAAGTTGATGAACATGTAGATAATGATGAAGATGAAGATGATGATAATGTTGGTCCAGAAATGTTTTCATTATTTCCAATAGCTTCCAAGAAATTCATAGTTCTTTTATCAATATTTATCTGTTTATTTTTCAATTCTTTCATTTCAATTGGTGTTAAATAAGTACATTCTTTTGATCTGTAAACACAATAATCACATTTTGGTTTACCTTCATTACATTTTATTTTTAATTTTTTACATTGAAGACAACCATTTTTGGATCTTTTAATCTTTGGTTGATTTGCATTATATGGTTTAAATGTTAAATTGTTTAACTTTTTTGTTAATTCTTGTTGTGATTCAATAATATCTTTATGAGAATCAGGTATAAGACCATTTAGTTTATTTTTACCCATATCATATAAGTTTCAAAACGTCAACAAATCACACCCCATGTTAGTATCTGGTTTCAATATAATATGTGGGAAACTTGTTCTTATATAATATTAATTATATTATGTATTAACTTGATTGAATTTCAATTGAATTTATAATAACTTAACGTGATGTCTCAAAGATCAGCAAGTGTATATTCAATTGTAAACTAAATATCAACGTCGAATAAATTTTTAATTAGAACTTAATTCACCTTCGGGAGTGTAAGCTTCATTTAAATCCCGATACAAGTTCAATTCAAGCTTTAATTGTCAATATGAATGTACCATTAAACGCGTCTTATTCAAGTATGAATACCCACTGTTTTAGTGATAAGCAACATAATATGCAACTAAGTCTTACTTTTATTTCCAATTGGTTTTTTCGCGGTCGTACCTATATACTATGAATATATTATTACACTCTCAATTGGTTATTTAATAGATATCTCTGATAAAATGAGTTTGTGTTGTCCACATAGCCATTGTCTTTGCAAATACAACAAATGAAGATAATCAATGGCTCGTATAGAATTATAATAAACTACCTGTTAAGCTATCATTTATGTAATATAGCTGAATTTGACATGTATGTCTGAGACATCAATCAATCAATATAATTAGTAATACTTGTTGTGATATTTTACGAGTTTCAGTATGAGATCCAGGAACATTTTTAAGCGGAATAGCATCACGATTCTATAACTTGTACAAGGTGCAAGGTAAAAGTATTCAACATATCGGGGTTTCGCTTATCATACGTGCAGCGTGCAGCGCTAAAATAAACAATTAGACTAGTATATAGGCTATTTCTTATATAAAATTACGTCGTATACATGTAGATAGTCCAAAATACTAATCATATTCCGCTTTCTCGAGTCAAACTTTTAATTTTCTGTCAAAATTAACGTTAATTCATAATTATTCAGGTATAAACGTACATATTACAGCGTGATGTAATGAGATCATGGGGTACCAATAAGCCATATTTATGAGTATTTAATTAAAACAACATGCAATTTATACCAATTACACGGCACAGGAGACTTACGAACGCCAGGTTATTCATGAACAATTGGTGGAGTTCATGAAAGTAATATATTATATGTTGATGCCTTTTCTAAAGGATATATGTTTGTTACAATTGGATATTATAATATTATAATGTTCTGAAGTCATTAACAATAGCGCTACAGAACATAATTGAACAGTGAAAATAGTATTGAAGAATATCTATATATGATCTTGACTATATGGATTCTCTTCTCATTTGATATGCAACGATTTGATCATGCCAATCATTTTCAACTTCATGAGAATTTGTTGGAATTCTAGTACTTTGTAAATGTGAACTTGCTATAGATTGTTCTTCTTTATATTCATCATTTGTTTGTTCTGGATATAAATTTTGATTGACGTTCTTCTCTTTATATTCTAATTCATCTTGTGAATTAAATGCATATAAATCCTTTTTTGTCCATTTATAAAAAATCCAAATTGATAAAATAATAAAATTTAAACCTATTAAAGCACATGATATAAACATTAATATATAATATTTTTTGTTTCCTAAAGTTGCAGATATACCCAATTGATCACATTCACCATTATATCCATCAACAGTTTTGGAATATTTATTATACCCCATCACAGAAGCTGCTAAACAAATAGCAAATGAAATTAATAACAAAGCCCAATTCAAAAGTAAAGAAATGAACATTACCAAGCTTTTTTTAATGAATAAACAGGCAATACATGATAATATAGCAACGCCAATCATAACTAGTCCAGCAATAGGTAAAGTATAAATTGATCTTTGTGAAGCTTTCCCAAAAGATGGTACTTCATCGGGTACATAAACATCCCAAGCTTTTTTCAAATTTTCAGTTAATATACTTCCACCTCTCCAAATATCTTCAGCAATAGTTTTTTTTTTTGAGGATCAAAATAATAAGCTCTTTTAGTACAATAATTTTGTCTATCTTCACCAGTCCAATTATAAACTTCTTTAAAATTTGATGCAAATTGTTTACATATATGTCTTGTACCCACTGTATAGAATTCTGGTAAATAAGTATCATTAAAAGTTAAACCTTCAGTTATATTTGAATAAATTTGAAAATGTTGATATGGTTTTTCTGGTAATAATTGTGTCACGTTTACATTTCTCATATCAAGTTTTAATAAATAAATATCTCTATTAGTTTTGGAACTAAATTTTGATGATCCAGTTTGAGCTATGGCTATTAATATCAACGGCACTATAAGTAATGGTATTTGAATCCATGGTTTATCAAAAAAATGTAATCGTTTCGTATTCATGATGTTATAACGATCTTGATGAAATTAGATCTGTAAATTTATTATAGTTCACCCACATTCTAGGGACGTTGAACAGTTTTATATAACACCATGGTATAAAAGATTGGTCTGCTGATAATAGCCTTTCATTGTCTTGGTGTCTTGGTAGTAAAAGTAACGAATGAAACTAAGACATTTTTTTGATTCAAAGCTAGAAAATACGAAGTTTTCTACTGTGATACTGTGATACTGTCTAGAGTTTTATTAGGGTTCTAAAAATGAACTAGAAAATTTACGAAATTTTTTTTGCCCAATATTTACTATTTAGTCTGCCTAACTTCTAAAAAAATACCTGCGCGTAGCCGTGCAATTTTTGTATTGTTTGTATTGTTATATGAAATATGAAATCATCCCGCCGAAAATAGATTCTTTTGACTAACTGAGTAGACAATTTGTGGATGTTCAAATCATCAAATTAATATGGTCTGATCATCAAAACAAATATACTGGCTGATTCCTGAGTAAGATTGTGAGTCGTGACGTGTCAGACTTTTAAGCTACTATAAAGTCTCATATCAGCTATCAGCTCATCATCATGTGTTGTCTATAACTTCTTACTTAACGGTACAAAATATACGTAATGGTAGAGTAGTAGCTAATTATTCAATACTATGAAAGACATAGGGAAAGTTCGTTGCATACTTCGGTGCACTCAAACAATAAAGTAATATTTCCAGAAGTTGGAATTTAGTTGACAGCCAATATATTATAGTATATAGCTTACCTGGTGGTTACGTATACTATTGCTCAAGTTTGAAACACTGGACCGCCATTATTCTACATACGTTAGCATTTGTTATACAGTTCATTAATAGTCATGGTATATATAAAGCAGCTGAAGATATGATAGAATATTGAAAGAAGAAAGAATTGATATGATCCCCAATATATCACTTATTCACATTGTATTGAATTAAAGCATCTGATTTGTCTTTTGCTCCATTCAGAAAGTTATGATTTGAATGTTTAGCTGGTTTTTCATTATAAAGAGTAGAATCTGAAATTCATTTATAACTTGACTTTGAATTTTTCTTTCCTTTGGAATCTGACTTCTTCTTCTCTTTAGGAAATGAAAATTCTTGTTTTTCCAAATCAAAAGGATCAGTGGCTTTTCTTTTCTTCCGAGCTCTCTTCTTTTGAGCATCATCCACCCTTATCAAATATTCTTCTGTATCATCAACAAGACATCCCATTATAATAATCCAAAATAACATAACAACTTGTAAACTTATTGCAAACCATAAAAATAACCAAAATTTTGTACTACCCCAAGTACCCAAGATCCTATATATACCTGATCCTCTTTTAAAACCTAATTTTGTATCTGCAAATAATTTAGTTGCAACACCACCACCTGCAAGAAATGCAATCAATGAAAAAATTGATACAAGAGATCCAATAGCTTGAATTAATGGACCTTGTAAATAAAAAGGATTAATGAATCTAATGATATAAATCACACTTGCAATGGCTGATAATATATCACCAACTAATATACCATAATAACTAATTTTTAAAGATCTCTTATAATAAGCACCAGTGAAATTTGGAACATGTAATGGGAATTTCAAAAACCAAGTTTGATTTTGATTTAATGGATTTTGATCACCAATATCATATATATCTTGATACCAAATAGATTCAGGATTCATTTGATCATAAGTTGTATTTATTCCAGAACAATAAGTTGTTGTATAATCATCAGTAAATTGATCAATATAACCTTTACAATAACCTCTTAATCCAAATGTATAAATTTCACTAAGACCAGAATCTTCTAATGTTAAATTTCTGGACCATTGCCAGAAGTCTCTTTGAGGTTGAACAAAATTATAAAATGAAACATTTCTAAAATCAACTTTTAAAGCATAGATATCTTTACTAAATTGTGAATTGTTTGTAGTTTCAATGAGTGTGAATGTTGTAAGTATAGGAATAACAATTGAAATGATGGGAACAATAGATCTTAATAATGTTTTGATAACTTGACGCATTCGATTGTGGGATGAATTTATGGATTTGAATAAAACAGAGCGCCAAACTTGTAAACTTTAAGGATCTTTTCAAATCTTTATATATTCCTTTTCAAAACACAGATAACCACGTTCCTGGTCATTATCAATAATTGATCATTGTTTGACGCGTCTAAATGATTGTTTTGAAGTCGATAAACATGATGTTGATGATAAAATCACCACCAAATTTGATCTGAAGTTGACCGCTTATGCACAAATTAAATAATTATTCAATATTTGAAAGATCTTCGGTAAGGAATTAAATCTGAAAATGGGAAATACTTTTGGAGTGATTACAGATTGTGGAACCGATATCCGTCAATTTGTAATCTGTTTAAGCTTATAAGTTGAGTGTCTAAAGTATCTTGTTTATTGGTGTTCCATTGTTAATTGTTGTTTGACGTCATTTGTAATTGAATTGAATTGAAAACGTTGTTGATAGATGATGGTAAAACAACCTCGGTCGTCATCTAAAGGTCATGGTCCTCATACGGAAATGATGGGTTAGAAAGACTGTGGTCTATCAGAGTGATGAATATGACGTCTTTGTATTTGATGAATGACATTTGTGACTTTGATGCTGTTGAGAAGTCTGTGCTATCATTCAAGTTGAGATAAGTGCTATAAACTATAGACACCATGCGCTCTAACCATTACCCTTTACATACCACTTCCCATTTTGGGTAAATCGACTTCAAGTTTGTTTTTCTTCAAAAACGATTTCTATAAATCTAAAGTCATCTCTAAGTAGTTTTATCCTATTATCAAATCAAATCATCTTATATACAAAATGGTGGATCAAGGTATGTAATGTATCAGCTCTTCATGGACTAAGAGATTAAAAACTAACATTTCCATAGGAACACAACTAGAAGGTTATGTAAAAGAACTATTCCAAACTTTAGACAAACAATTTACACCAGCTCAATACAATTTAGATACTTATAAACAATCATTTTTACCACAATTAAAAATAAACTCACCAGTGATACTGAATGGGAATCCAATAGGAGGTAAATTAGCTTTCCAAGAACATTGGTTAAAATTTCCACAATCTCAACATAATGTAACTTCATTAGATTATCATTCAATTCCAGGTACTGGTACATTAATTATAAATTTATCAGGTAAAGTTAGATTTGATGAAACTGGTAAAACTAAATTAGGTGAAACTGCTGATTTAGATCAACCTCAAGCTCCATTAGATACAAGAAATTTTTGGGGTTCATGGTTAGGTTTTAATGCTAATTTAATTCTTGATGAAATTGCTTTACAAAATCCAAATAGTGAAGTTATAAATTCTTTAAATTGGAGAATTGTTTTCAAACCTGATGATTCATTAGTTACAATATAGATATATTAGGTGAAGATTAATAAAACTTGCATATAGTTTACACGGTTTTGTAGTATAAATAAAATAAAATCATAACATAAAATCTATAAACAAAGCGAACGTAATCATAAACCGATAAGATCTAGTAGAGATCATAAATAATTGAATATTTTGTATTGTATTTTCATAGCGCCATATAAAGGAAGTTTATCTAGACAACTTGTCTTTCTTGATAACCCATAAATGGTTCTTTTTCATTTGGTGAAGGTGGAGTTTGAGATTTAGCTTCTTTAGAACTCTTTTTTTTAGTTCTACCACAACAAATTGCTAAAACTTCTAAAACAACAACAATCAAGGCAAGACCGGTAGCCGCCCAGATTAAACCATAAAATCTATTATTATCTAAAGTACCTTTCATACCATATTCACTATAAGCATCATTGAATTTTGTTTTAACTCTGTTGAAAGCAGCAGTCGAGGCAGCAGCGGCAATCACATAACCTAAGAATGCAATAATGGCAAATATTGTTGATATAAATGAAATGATATGTGAGCAAAAAGATGCTATAGTGAATAAAAATGTTAAAGCTGAAGCAACAATACCAATAATTGTAGTTATAAAAATAGCTTTTGATGCAATTTTTAATTGTTTTCTATTATTTTCAACAGATTCTGGTAAACTTAAATCATCAGATGTAATATCTAATGTTCCACTTGTTAAATCTTCAACTAATAATTTAACAGGATCGAAAACATACATAGCTTGAGGATCTGAACATTTTGATGGTTTATATTCACCATCATCATAATCACCTTTACAATAACCCCATTGACCAATTGTGTACATATCACTTAATCCAATATCTGAACCTGAAATTGTAACACCACTTAATGAAGTGAAAGCACCTAGTATAGTATTTTTAGTTATAAGTTTTGTTATATCAACTTCTGTCATATCTAATTTAAATTCATAAATATGATTAATTGGTGATGCATTCTTTGTTGAACCTGCACATGCTAAAGCACCTAATACAAGAGCTGCTAATGAAAATATGAGAGGTATGAGTACCACAATAAATCTTACAACTGAAACCATTGTGACTGTGTGTGTGTGTGTGTGTTTATAGATGTGTTGTAATTGATATATTAATGAATTTACTTAATTATTTGATATAAATTCTGTTGAGTTTACTTTGTACAAAGGTCTTTATTCACCAAAGTAACACAAGTTTAATTGATAACATCATAGAATTAAAAAAGAACAAAACTGGAATCTACTATATATATATAACATCTAGCCATTTTGATCAGATCAAAGTGTTCACAACAATTTCAACTTTATTTCATCCTTTAATTAATTAAAATTTCAACAAGATCAACAACTATACTAATTTTAGTACAACCAGCCATCAGCTTATGTAAGGATCCGATCCAATTTAATTAGGCGCAGTTTGACACATTCATAGGGAAATGAGGGTACTTACCACATCTTGTAAATGACTAGTTTAAGGGATATTTAGGATCAATTGAGAGTCATTTAAAGGATCAATTGTTGAATTATCATCGGCTATACTCAATCATTCCATTTCTTCATGTCTTGTTTGAAAACTTTTCATCATAGTTAAGCATAAATCTTAACCCTGTTAAAATTGACAGAAACGTTGAGATTTTCACTTTAAATAGAGCAATTAGAATCAAACAAAAGAACAAGCTATAGAATCAAGGTTTATGATATTATGGCCACTATTAATTCAGGGGTCTATCGTAAAGAACAAGAGTTATCACCGATTGAACCCATCAGAAACCCTGTATGAGCATTGGTATTAGAAACATGGCTATTCTACTACCCAATAATTAGGGCTTAGTATACAATCATTTGAATTCATGACTCTAATGCCTAGTTTTGCGCCCAGATGTTCTTTATTTAGCTATTCATATATTTGAACAATATTAATATCTTATTAAATATCTTGAATAATGTATGAGCGGTTATTTGACATATGATGATCTAACGTTTTATCATATACCCGATCAATCTAGATCTAAATTTAACCAATTTTATCAATAGTCATAACATTGGCTCCAGAGTGGAGCAGCTCCGTTATGCATAGTATTTGATATTATAAGATCCAATGCATCTAATTAGATCTGAAGGCTTTATTTTTGGTCATTCAGATCAAGATGTTGTGCCTCGAATGTACTTAAAGTATTAATAGACATGGCTAGGTTCATTCATGACTATTAACTAGGTGAATACAATTTGTATTTTACATACACTTGAATACCACTAATAGAAGTAACTATCAGTACATCTATTATAAAGTATTTATCATTCTATGAACCTATATACAAGTATATATCAACCTCCACTATAATTCAATCTTTTCAATTAAGAAAATTTCATTATTTGAAGATCTTGTAAAACTTATATCAGCAATAACTTTACCAGCAGTAATAAAACTTTTAATACTCCAATCACCTTTCCCATAAACTTCTGGAATCTTGGTTTCAAGAGCTGGGAATAAAGCTTTATAAATATCTTTATATTCTATAACATCTTCTCTTGAAACTGATAATTTTGAAGCTATTGTTTGATATTTTTTATGAATCCAATCTGGAAGAGATTGTTTATCTGTTGTATAATGTGGTTTATTACCAACACGAATTATCCATAGTAATAAAGCACGATCAACATCATCTGATTTAGCTAATTGTTCATAATCTGTTATACCAAAGATTAATAATAAACTATTGGCAAATGTTTTGTCTTGTTTATAAATAGATTTAAAAGATAATGGTTTATATTTTTTCAATAATGATTTTTCCTGTTTAGTAATTTCTTCAAATGTTAATTGATAAAATACTTTTTGAGAATTTTTATAGATTTTTGCAATTTTAATAATTTGTGCATTTTCAACACCTTCATTTTTTAAGTTTTTCAATAAATCAATCTTTTGTTGAATGATTTTTTGTAATTGTTGTAAACCTTCTAATCTATTTCTCAAAGTGATTTTGGTTTCTTCATCTGATTTAACCAAGTATGCAAATAGATCAATTAATGGAGTTGGTAATGGGTTTTCCTTTGTGATTGGATAAGAAACTTCATTTGTTGTTAATTTTAATCCAAATGTGTTTGCAGATTCAATATTTGCCTCTGGGATTCTTAATGCTAATGTAGCACGATCTTCTTTATTATTTTCAATAGCAAAACCATAACCAAACATTAATTCTTGATTTGTTTTTGGTCCATAACTATTATAAATTTCATCACCATTTTTTAATTTTTGTTCAGTTTTAAATATAAAATTTTTGCCATTTGAAGAGTCCAAGGAGTCCCATTTAACATTAGCTTCATTATCATGGTTTAATAAATCAAAAATTGGAACAAGGAAAGCCTCATTCAAATCTCTACATATTTCATTACCAGCTAATAAGAATGGGAAGGCTCTTGAATTAAAGATTGCAGAAGCCCATAAATAAGCTGGGAAACTTGTCCAAGATTGTGGTAAGTTTAAATATTTCCAAAATTGTTCACTTTTTCCTTTTGTAAAACCTTTATAAAATGATATATCTTCTTGGAATGTCTTTGGTTGGAATTTTGAATCAATTTTAGAAACAATTGAATACCATTCATCAACTAATTGTGAGATTTTATAATCAATAGCTAAATGTGCATCTGTACCTTTGATTGTATTTCTTTCGACATCACTCCAGAATAAAGGCGATAAAGTATCATGACCTTCAGGTAATATATCAAGATATGGTTTGAAATGTGATGATAAATTAATTGAATCAGTTTTAGACTCTTGTGGATCAAATCTTAATTTTGCTAATAAAAGTTGAGTCAAAGCATTTCTATTCCCCTTAGGAATTAAATCTGAACCAAATATTTCCTCTGCAAGTGTTGGAGTTAAAGTTATACTTTGTGGTATTTGGAAAAGATTTGAAGAATTATCATATTGTCCTGAACCTTTATATATAGCTGATACACCTAATTCGGTTTGTTCAAATGAGACATCTTGATGGATTAAAGCACCGTGGTCTTTTGCCCATGAAACCAATGATTCTAGCTTACTCATTATATCAATAATTTGAGCACTCTGTCTATAATATATGAGCTTGTATATAATACTGATCTCTGTGTGCCACTGTGTAATTGGTGTCAGTCTCGGAGGTCCATAATTTTTTTTTCAACATTGGTGGTGTCAGGATGGCGTGAATCTCCATACAAAGTAAAATAAACAAATAATCAACAACAACAAATTTGACATATATTAAAAGACAATCACAAACTATTAAACAAAGAAATAATTCATAATTTTACAAATCGCAAAGTTATCGGACTATTCAAGTCCATGTTCCAGTTCCCCGTTATACTTATATGACTATGATTGTTTACCCCAGATTGAACAAAGACCCGGACTATGAATCGACCGAGCAATAATAAAAGATCAGCTATAACAAATGACACCTATCAAGCTATCAAACCTGGAAATTGCACGTATTTTGACCAATAGTTACCAAGGTAGTACGTCTCGAGAAACAGGACTCTCGGTGGAGGTATATATTGGTGAGCTGCTAAAGTATTTTTCTAGTAATGATCTAGTTCAATTGGGTGTTTGTTGTGCAGTGGTATCAGAGTTATTGTTTATGCAACATAAGCTTTTAGGATTTTAGTGAATTGATGGTCCAAATCTGGGGTTAAATCTCCTGAATTAATCGAAACTATATGTGTCTGTGACGTATTAAAATGATCTTTAATGATCCCCAAGAGATAATTTCAGCTCCACATTCATAATAAGGTTTAGATTGTTGAGTAAATCATTTACCATATATATATAATATAGACTATCCGTTATGTTTGTTGGTTGAGTTTTAGTTCATCAAGTTTCCTCGGCTATCAAAAAATTAGTCAACATGGTATACACATTTTACAATACTTATGTGATTGCATTCGTTGCAACAATTGGTGGTTCGTATGTAATACCAAAATTGTCATATCATTCCTGAATATTCCCACTAACACTAACACTTCAGACTTTTTGGATTTGATGTGAGCTCAATGAGTGCCATTGTTGGTACTAAACAATACCTAGAATATTTCAATCATCCAGGATCAACATTACAAGGTGGTATCACAGCAAGTATGTCTGCAGGCTCATTTCTTGGTTGTATATTATCAGGTTCAGTATGTGATATCTTAGGTAGAAAGAAAACAATTCAATTTAGTTGTATATTTTGGATAATTGGTTCTGTTTTACAATGTGCTTCTCAAAATGTTGCAATGCTTATTGTTGGTAGAGTTTTAAATGGATTAACTGTTGGATTTACATCTTCACAAGTTCCTGTTTATTTATCTGAAATTTCTAAAAGATCTGTTAGAGGTAAGATTGTTGGTTTACAACAATGGGCTATTGAATGGGGGATTTTGATTATGTTTTTCATTGGATATGGTTGTTCTTATATTAAGGGTCATGCAAGTTTTAGAGTTCCTTGGATTATTCAAGTTGTTCCAGCTTTATTCTTGATGTTTTTACTGATTTTCATTCCAGAATCTCCAAGATGGTTAGCAAGTAAAGGTAGATGGGATGAATGTAAATTAATATTAGCAAATATTCATGGTAAAGGAGATGATGAAGATCCAGAAGTTTTAACAGAAATTGCAGAAATTCAAGAATTTGTAGAAATTGAAAATAAACAAGCTATTGGATATTTGGAACTTTATAATAAAAAAAACATTTATAAAACTTTAGTTGCTCAAGCTTGTCAATGCAGTCAACAATTAGTTGGTGGTAATGTCATTATGTATTATGTTGTTTATGTTTTCCAAATGGCTGGGTTAACAGGTTCAATTAATTTAATATCTTCATCAGTTCAATACATTATTTTCTTATTATTTACAGTCCCAACATTATTCATGATGGACAAAGTTGGTAGAAGACCTTTAATGATTTATGGATCAATTGCAATGGGGACTTGTATGTTTATAATTGCAGGTATATTAGCTGGAAAGGGTGAATATGCCGAATCTATTGGTGGTAATGATAATATTCATATTACGTTAGTTAATTCACCAGCAGCTTCAAGAACAGTTTTAGTCTTTTCATACTTGTTTACCATGTTTTATTCATTAACTTGGGCACCAACTGCATGGGTTTATTGTCCTGAAGTATTTGATCAAAGAACAAGATGTAGAGGTATGGCAGTTGCAGCAGCTTCAAATTGGGCTATGAATTTTGCATTAGCATTTTATGTTCCTCCAGCATTTGATAATATTGGATGGAAAACTTTTGTTATATTTGGTGTTTTCAATGCAGCAAGTGCCATTTATATCTTTTTCCTATTCCCAGAAACTGCAAAGAAGAGTTTAGAAGAGATTGAAGAATTATTTGCATCAAATAGTCCAAAACCATGGAAAACTAAAGTTGGTAGTGAAAGATTTGAACAAACAAAGGAAGAGTTTAAACAAAATCCAATACAATTTGATTCTGAAACTCAACCTAAATCAAGTTTGGAAAATAAAGCTGAAGCTCAACATGTTGAACTTGCTGAGTCCAAAACACAAAATTCTGTTTGATTTTAGAAGGTGACGTATAGTTTATCTAATTTAATTTAAAAAAAAAATGCTATTACTTATGTTCCAATATATAAGCTGCACTAGATATCAAATCGCTGTAATCATCACATAATTCGTAAATTCTGATCTATTAATTCGGATATTTGTCAAGCGCGCATAAATTCATCACTATCTACAATGAAGATAAGCAATTTGGAGAATTATGAGCACCAGTGGCAGCCACCAACAGCTTTGTAAAACTAAGGAGTCCATGCTGTAAGTGATCCTCTAATCCCAACCAAGATTGTCAACACATAGTAAGATCTCGAGAAATTTACACCGGGGTGATTCCTAAAGGGGAAGCGCCAAAGAGATAAGACATCGATCTGATACAGTGTTTATCGATGAACAATATCTTCAAGATACAACGGGTGATGCCTTGGATCGTGAGTATATATAAGCTGAAATCATGGTTTTCCATCTCTTTGGTTAATAAAAGATGTGATTATTGAGCACATTAGAGAGCAAGAAGAGGATAATTGCATACGATATAAGATACATTATGGGTGAATCAATTATACAGGCGAAATCATCAGCACTAGAACCACACAGAACAGTGGCCAGTAGAGTTACTGGGAACATGAATCATATCAATGCTAGAGAAGTAACAAATGCTGAAGATTTATTAGCAGAAATTGGTTATAAACAAGAATTGAAAAGAACATATACCACATTCCAAGTCTTTGGTGTTGCATTTTCTATTATGGGATTACTACCTTCAATTGCAACTGTGTTAGCAACAGGTTTAGTCACAGGTCCAGTAGGATTAATATGGGGTTGGTTTGCTGTTGGATTCTTCATATTGGCTGTTGGTATTGCAATGGCTGAGTTAGCTAGTGCTATTCCAACTTCTGGGGGTCTTTATTATTGGACATATTATTACGCACCTCCAAAATATAAGGCATTTTTATCATTCATGATTGGTATAACGAATTCATTAGGATTAGCAGGTGGTGTTTGTTCAATTACATATGGATTTGCGCAACAATTACTTACTGCAGTTTATTTTGGACTTGATGGTGATTTTGATATTACAAATTATACTGTTTTTGGTGTTTATGCTGCTGGAATAGCTGCTGAATTATTAGTTACTTGTATGAGTACCAAATCCAGTGCAAAATTACAATCATTATCAATAATATGTAATGTTGGCTTAATAAATTTATTTTTGATTGCATTACCAATAGGTACAAAAGTTAATAGTCACTTCAACGATGCAAAATTCATTTTTGGTAAGTTTGAAAACACAAGTGATTGGCCATCAGGTTGGGCTTTCTTTCAGTTTGGTTTTATGCCTGCTATTTGGACCATTGGTGCGTTTGATTCAACTGTTCATATGGCTGAAGAATCTAAAACTCCATCAAGAAGTATTCCAATTGGAATTATTGCATCAATTACCGCTTGTTGGTTAGGTGGTTTCATTATTTGTATTGTTATTTGTGCATGTATGTCTACAGATATTAATGAAATTGTTAATACAGCTACAGGTCAACCATTAATGTTTATAATTTATTCAAATATGGGTAAAAAATGGGCTGTTGCGTTTTCTGCTTTAACTGCATTTTGTCAATTTTTAATGGGTGCTAGTACATTAACTGCAATATCAAGACAAGTTTGGGCATTTGCTAGAGATGATGGATTACCATTTTCAAATTGGACAAAATATGTTGACAAAAAACTTCAAGTTCCAATCAATGCTTCTGTTACAAGTGCAATTGCTTCTTTATTATTAGGGCTTTTAATGTTAGCAGGTCCTGTTGCTGCGAATGCATTGTTTTCAATTAGTGTTATTTGTGGTAATGTTGCTTATGCTACACCTCAAGTTTTAAGATTCACAAGTGGAAAACACCTTTTCACACCTGGTGTTTTCTATATCGGTAAGATTCTTTCACCAATCAACATGGTAATCACTACTTTATATCAAGTATTTGTTATCATATTTGCAATGTTCCCAGATAGTATCAGTGTTGGAGGTGCATCTGAAATGAATTATGCTGTTGTCATCAATTGTGGTCTATGGATACTTGGGGCAATCTATTTTGTTGTTTATAAGCATAAGTCATATCATGGTCCTAAATCAAACTTGGAGGATGATAATGTTGATTCCTTTGATGATGTTAGCTTTCATGAGGGTGAAGCTGTTGATCAAAGCTCTTCTGATAATGCTATTACAAAGGGAGATAATATATAGACAGGAAATTGAATTTATACATATAGTGCGTTATTCTGAATTGAAATATGTAGACAGTGAATTTGTTGAAGCGTAGAGGGAAACAGGTAACGTTGCTTTGATAATAGTAATTGTTCTATTGTTCTGTTCCAAACCTAGGTTCTTCAGATCGGGCAAACTTGTTCTTTACACTAGTCCTTCGAATTAGAACATTAATGAGCTGAACAAAACGTAGAGTAGATATATTGCCATCATCTGGATGTTAATTATTGACTTCTAGGTTCCGAGATCCCGTTTAATTGGTTGGAATAATCTTAATCTTTTAATTGAAAGTTGATACCATCATTTCGGCGAGATAAGTATTTGTAGATCCAAAGATTCACGCCCATGGTCCCGAAAGAGAAAACGGTGCGCTGAAAGTCGAGAGTTAAATGCTACAAGAAGCGAAAGTATCGGACTTGACAAGCTAATTAACTTGCTATGGTATGGCTGCCTATGGCACATTTGTTTATCGCAGCATGGGTAACCACTTATGATGACATGCGCTAGATAAGCTTAATTTTTGACACCTTTCTTAAGGAATGATAAAGTTAAAAGTATAGATCAAATACATTACAGACTCTGAACTATTATATCATACCATATGCCAACAAACGATGATACTATCTATTGTGGATACGTACGCGTTATTACTTTCATCATGCTGATTATCATTCTCATCAGATAACAAAATCATAGATCAAACAAAAGCATATATAATCTTCAGGGTTCCTATGTCTTACAGAGGAATGAGAGAATCAAGATCTAGAGCCAACAGCACCTAATCACAATAATACCAAACAATGAGCCAGGTAGTCATAAACACATCATCATCAGCATCAGCACTAGAACCACATAAGACAGTGACTAGTCGAGTTACAGGGACAGTGAATTATATCAATGCCAGAGAAGTAACAAATGCTGAAGATTTATTAGCTGAAATTGGTTATAAACAAGAACTTAGAAGAACTTATTCAACTTTTGAAGTTTTTGGTATTGCATTTTCAATTATGGGATTATTACCTTCAATCGCCACTATCATAACGTTGGGTTTAGTTCCAGGTCCAGCTGCTTTAGTATGGGGTTGGTTCATTGTAGGTGCTTTTATTTTCGGTGTTGGTGTATCTATGGCTGAATTAGCTAGTGCTATTCCAACATCTGGTGGTCTTTATTATTGGACTTATCATTATGCACCAGTTAAATATAAGGCTGCATTATCATTTTTAGTTGGTACTACAAATTCTATGGCTTTAGCAGGTGCTGTTTGTTCAATTACATATGCATTTGCTCAACAATTTATAACAGCTATATACTTAGGTCTTGATGGATCTTTCAAAATAACAGATGCAATGATCTATGGGGCCTTTGCAGGAGCCATTATTATTGAAATGTGTGTTACATGTTTCAGTACTAAATCAACTTCAAAACTTCAAATGCTTTCAATTGTTTGTAATGTTGGTTTGATCGTTTTGTTTTTAATTGCATTACCAATAGGTACTAAAATGAATGCAAAATTTAATGATGCAAAGTTTATATTTGCTAAATATGATAACTTGAGTGATTGGCCTGATGGATGGGCTTTTTTTCAATTTGGGTTTATGCCAGCTGTTTGGACAATTGGAGCATTTGATTCTTGTGTTCATATGTCTGAAGAATCTAAAACTCCATCAAGAAGTGTTCCAATTGGTATTCTTGGATCTATTACAGCTTGTTGGATCGGTGGATTTATTATAAATATTGTCATTTGTGCATGTATGACTACAGATATTGAATCAGTATTAAATACAGGTACCGGTCAACCATTGATGTTCATAATACAATCTAATCTTGGTAAAAAATGGGCTGTTGCATTTTCAGCTATGGCTGCATTTTGTCAACTTTTGATGGCTTCAAGTACTTTAACTGCAATTTCAAGACAAGTTTGGGCTTTTGCTAGGGATGATGGCTTACCATTTTCACGTTACATTAAGATTGTGGATAAAAAGACACAAGTTCCAAGAAATGCAGTTGCTGCTAGTGCTGTCGCTGCTTTAGCTATTGGGTGTTTGATTTTGGCTGGTCCTGTTGCTGCTAATTCATTATTTTCAATTGGTATGATTGGATTATATGTTACTTATGCTATACCGCAAATTCTTAGATTTACAAGTGGAAGAGGTATATTTCGTCCTGGTATTTTCTATACTGGTAAAATTCTTTCACCAATAATTAACTTTGTCACCATTGTTTATCAATTATTTATTGTTATACTAGCAATGTTCCCTGATAGCACAAAAGTTGAAGGTCCATCAACTATGAATTATGCAGTTGCTGTTAATTGCGGTGTATGGGTCCTCTCAATGATTTATTTTGCAGTATGGAAACATAAAACATACCATGGTCCTAAATCAAACTTGGATGATGATGATGATGATTATGACTCGTTGAGTGTCCATGACGGTCATGAGATGACCCATCAAAGCTCTAGTGGAATTATAGAAAAGAGCTGAAACGCACGTACTTGTGCACGAGACCCTGAATATAATCATGATTTACACCGTTTTTCTTGATCTCTTTATTGATTTGTAGTTGATATAATCATATAAAAATTGATTCATCGTCTTTCGTCTTTCGTATACCTATCAAGTAGGCATTTTGAAATCGAGATAGCTTATCAAAAAAAAAATTTGATATGCAGCCAGAATAAAATTACCTTACCATCCCCGACGCTCAATTTCTGGTGAACTATGATTCATATTATTGATATTGTAAGGGCTTAAATATAAAATAATATGGCATTTTTCATTTTGTGACATGAGCTTGGCTCATTCTTGGCTTGAAAGTCAACCAAAGTACCTACAATAAAGCACCTACTTCAAAGTTCAACATGACAACAGATCCAGAAAAGACAGGATATGAAGTCCATGAAACCCACACAGCTCATATGAGAACCATAACTAGTAAAACGGTTGGTCAAGTCAACTATATTAATGCTAGGGAAGTGACAAATGCTGAAGATTTATTAGCAGAAATTGGTTATAAACAAGAATTGAGAAGAACTTATAGTACGCTTCAAGTGTTTGGTATTGTGTTTTCTATTCAAGGTCTTCTACCTTCTATAGCTACAACTATGAGTACTGGTTTAACTGTTGGTACTGTTTCAATGATTTGGGGTTGGTTTCTTGCTGGATTCCCAATTATGGGTGTTGGTATAGCAATAGCTGAATTGGCAAGTGCAATTCCAACTTCTGGTGGTCTTTATTATTGGACATATCAATATGCACCAGTTGGTTGGAAAGCTATATTATCATTCATTGTTGGTGTTACAAACTCAATGGATCTTTGTGCGGGTGTTTGTTCAATCACTTATGGATTTGCTGAACAAATTTTAGCGACTGTTTATATTGCACATGATGGAGATTTTAAAATTACAAGACCAATAGTTTATGGTGTCTATGCAGCTGGTTTGTTTTTACAATTATTTTTAGCTGGTATAAGTTCTGCTAATGCCTCAAGATTGCAGAACCTTTCCATTGCAGCTAATGTTGGTGTCGTTATATTATTTGTTATTGCATTACCAATTGTAACTCATAATACTTCAACTTTCAACGATTCAAAATTCATATTTACTTCAAGTCCAAATTTTAGTGATTGGCCAGCAGGTTGGTCTTTTCTACAATTTGGTCTTATGCCAGCAGTATGGACAATTGGTGCTTTTGATTCCACTGTTCACATGTCTGAAGAATCTAAAACACCATCAAGAAGTATCCCGATTGCAATCATTGGTTCAATAGCAGCATGTTGGATTGGTGGATTTTTATTAACCATTTTAATTGCAGCATGTATGCCAACAGATATATCATCAATAATAAGTACAGAATCTGGACAACCATTAGTGGAAATAATTTTCAAAATTATGGGTAAAAAATGGGCAATTACATTCTCATCATTATTTGCATTTTGTCAACTTTTAATGTCAACTAATATTCTAACTGCAATTTCAAGACAAATTTGGGCATTTGCAAGAGATGATGGATTACCATTTTCTCCATGGATCAAAATTGTTCATAAAAAATTAAAAGTTCCAATAAATGCCATCATTATTAGTGATTTTATTGCCTTACTATTAGGTCTTTTAATTTTGGCAGGTCCAGTTGCTTCAAATGCATTGTTCTCCATTGGGGTTATTGGTTGTTATGTTGCTTATGCTATACCTCAATTTTTAAGATTAACAAGTGGTAGACATATTTTCAATCCAGGATCTTTTTATACTGGTAAAATTTTATCTCCAATTATTCATATAGTTACAATTATTTATCAAATAATTATTTGCTTGTTGGAAATGTTCCCAGAAACTAGATCCGTTGAGGGTGCTACAACTATGAATTATTCTGTTGTAATAAACTGTGGTATTTGGATCTTATCTTTGATCTATTATTATGCATTCAAAAGAAATATCTACAATGGTCCTAAATCAAATTTAAATGATGGTGAACAAGATAAAATTAATAGCAGTTCCACAAGCATTGATGAAGTTATACCCCCATCTAAAACTGGAACTTTTTAAACTTACAACAAAAAAGGAGATAATTAATGAATGTCTTGTTAGATGTAACTCCAATCTAATATACAACTTTACAATTGTCTAATACCTTTCTATATAAATAATTTTAATCCACTTTTAATAAACATTCTTTCTAAGTCCATTTGCTAAACACACGATGAAAGATGTATTAAATATTTGAAGAACAAAAGATATCCAAATAAATGAAAATCCTAAAGCTCTATTTACATTCGCAATACCAACACTTTGTCCAATTTCTGAAAGACGTAAAATAAATTCGAACGTTAAAGAACACATAAGAAACCCAATCAATAGATTTATAAATGATAATGAAACCATCAAAGCTGCTAACCATTTCCGCACCCTATGAGTAGTGGATAGTTTCATTTTTTTTCCAATTGAAGTATTCTTAAATAATACCAATAATAATGATCCTAACAATAGAGCACAGTTAACAGAGAACTGAGAGACCGTTAAAAACCCTAAACCTTTACTCAATTTTTGTAATAAAATTGCATAATTTATGTATTCAACAGATTCATGTTGTTCATTGTTTGAAAATTCGTTAAATCCTGAAATGGCCAATTCATAAGCTATTGCAAAACTATCACCCATAATATCAACGTTTGTCTTTGTAAGTTCTCCTAATTGAACACCAGCATCTCTAACAAATACTGATAATAAATCTAATCCATAACTTCTCATACAGAAGTTTTTACCATGTCTATATCCCTCACGACAATATCCTAGATAATTCAAATGGAAAATTGTATTCACTGAAAATGTATCAATAACTTTATTTTGATAATAACTATCAAGTCTAGTATTAATCATATCTAATTCACTTGTATTATCACCAAAATCTATAGCCAAATAAGTAATGACTTTTAATGCTTCTCTTACTGTTAAAAGTGCATTTTTAGCAGCTGGTGATTTATCTGTAAGTTGTATGGTTAATTGCGGAAAACAAATAGAATTAGTATGATGACAGGTGAACAACGGGAAACTATTCAACACCAAACAGACACATAACAATACAACAAGTAATATTGAGCACGTCAGATACTTGGCATTTGTCAGCTTTGAAACAAATGTTGTTTTGAACTTTTTATCACCGGTTTCATCATCAATTTCAAAAGAATCTTCATATTCTTCATCACCATCGTCTTTGAAATCTTTTTGTTTATACTTTACTTCTTTATCCTCTTTTTCTTTATCACCAAATTCTTGATTATCACCAAAAGCCTCAAAATATTCACTTTGAGCATTTGCACTAGGATCACCTTCTAGTTTTCCATCTTTCTCATCTGTAAAAATCTGTGATACCACATCATCCAAATTATTCAAGTTTTGTTCTCTTTCTGGTTCTTGTTGAAATATTTCATCTTGAGCAGTATTAAATTCATCATCCTGTCTTGGTGAAGGTGATAAAAAAGTAGCTTGATTTTCAAAAAAATTGGGACTTAATTGTTGATCATTTAACTTGAAATTTGAATTAGGATCAATATGCCCAACATCAAATTGTGATAAATTATTATTATTATGTAGATTCCCCGTTATATAATGAGATCTAGCTCTTTGTTTAAATTTTGATGTTAATGATGATGATGGTTTACTTGAACTTGATGGACTTGGATCAACAATTGTATGACTTCTTTTCAATTTTGTCATTGATGAACTACCATAAGTTGATGCACTATTTGGAGGTGAAAAATCTATTCTTGTGGGTTTTATATATGGTTTCTTTGTAAATGATGATTTATCTGTTGGATTTGGAGTTGAAACAAGAGATTGGGATGCTTGTGAACTTTGAGCTGTTCTGAAAAATTGATTCTCAATAGAGCCACCATTCAACATAAAAGGATCCATCTTGTAATATATTAATTAGAACAAATTCAAAAAATGATTCAATCTAATTTGGGTTGACTAACTTCTTCTATTGATCCATATTATCCATATATATTTCCATTATTCACCAATTATTCCCAAAAAAATAAAAAAAAATCATGTTACACAAAAACTAAAAATCAATTAAAATTACCTATTGGTACCTAGACACAAAAACCTTAAACCCGTGAACCCCCGAAAAAAAAATCAAAAAAATCAAAAATCAACGTAATTAAAATAACAATGCAATCTTTAAAACCTAATATCTAAAAGTACCAGAGCGGAATATAGTATCATTAGATTTCAATACAACTTCTTCTTCATTAGTTAAAAAATTATTTGGAGGTGAAACACTTCTATCAGTTGGATGTTCATTATTTCCGATTTCTTTTGTAAATTGACGGAAAGTAGATTTTTTGGATTTAATAGATTTGTTTGATTTTCTTGACATTTTTGTTGATGTTCTTGTTGGTTTAGAAGTTAATCCACCTGAATCTGTCTCAGAATTCTCATTTACCAAAAATGCCATTTGACTTTCAACTTCATCATCTAATTCAATAGGAGGTGGTGCACACCAAGTTGGACCACCCCATGAAGCCATTGAAAGGAAACATAGTGCAAATATGAACCATAATATAGTGAAAAATGCAGTACCTAAATGTAATTTTAATCCATATGGTGATAATTCTCTATGAATATCAGTTCTAAATCTCAAATAAATAACAGTCATGGTGACACATGCCACTGTACATGCAACAAATGAAGCTAAAGAAATACCTGAGCTTATATGAGCAAATAATTTAGATATATCAGTACCATCATTTTTAAAATTGTAATAAGCAAATAATAAACAAATTAATGCAACTTGTGATACAGCAACAAAGATTAATAATCTAGGTACAGCAAATGCAGCTTTTTCTTGAGATCTTAAATAATCAATATATTTTTGATTATTCCCTGTGAATCCATAAGCATATTCTAATATGATTTCAAAATGTGATTGAGATAATAAACTTCTATAATCAAAAAAATATGAATTAACAGGTTTAGAACAAGTTCTTGAAGAATTTGCAATCTTAAATGTATAATCTGTACTCGTTAAATAATCACCTTGGATTTTATAATCATGAGTTGTAGAACACCAACCATATAATGAAGATGTTATAAAATCTGGAGCTTTAGCAAGTTGAGCTTCTGCATAATCAGATAGAGCAATAACTTCAGAAGATGTTAATCCAGCACCAAAATTCCCATCCAACATTTCATTATGAGACAAATCATTTCTTAAAGCTGTGAACAGCCCTTTTGAAACATCAATTTTAGAAGTATCCAGTCTCACGGTGTAAATATTATCAGGATTATTATGAGCACCTGCCAACAGGGTTATAATCAGCACCACACTAGCCAGAGCTGTACCTATTCTGATCCCCTGTGTGACTCTGGATCTGGTGTCCATGTTCTCGAACGCGAGCCTGGTGGACATGTGCACCTTATCCACCTGTTCCTTAAGCTTCGCCTTCATCTTCATCACTGGAAATGATTTGATTCCAAACCCTGCTTATATTAAGATACCAAAATTCCAAATTCCTTAAATATTCGATCTTTAAATCAAATTAGCCGCCAAGTTAAGGGACCCGCGAAAATGTGATGGGTCTTTTTTTTTGTTTTTGTTTTTCGCGAAATAGTAGGGGTGAAGCGTGCGCTTTATTGGGAAATTGGGAAATATAAACAAACGCCAAAATATTTGATATCTGTTGTAATCCCCAGAGTTCACTGAGATACAGAAAGAGCGTAGAAAGACTCAATTTCATCGCTCTGTGGAATTTGTTGGTGTAATTATGGCTTCTACTAAACCTAAATTTGCTGGATGGAGTTTCTCGTTTGGTGAAGGTACTAGATTGATTCTTAAAAGAGATGAAGATGGTTTAGAAATTAAAAATGGTGATTCAATTTTAGTCAATGACCCTGATGGTGGTGCTCCTTTGGTTTGTTTGATCAGAGATGCTCAAATCGGTACTGATGATTACATTGTGTTGCGTGGTGTGAATTATTTAAGAAGAGATGAAGTGGAAAATGAACCTTTAGAAACTATTGATCAAGAATTATTTTTAACTAGTGTCCAAGATAAATTATATGTTAAAGATATTATTGAAAAAGCTAATGTGTTGAACCCTGAAGAATTTGAAAAAATTGTCATTGATGATTCAAATCAAGATAATACATTTCTATGTCGTAGAGGTTATGATACTTATTACAAGATCTATAGTGATTATGTCAATATTGAAACCATTAAAAGAGGTTTGGATAAAGATCCTGATGGTGAAATGGAAACTTTAAGAAATTTGTTTGTTAAATCTCTTTATAGTGAACGTAAACCTCCATCTCCAAAGAAAAGACGTGCCCCAAGAGCAAGAAGAGATGAAAATGATGAACAAAAACCTACTCCAACTTCAAAGAAACCAAAACCATCAAGATCAAAACCTACCAAGAAACCTACAGAACAACTTTTCAAAAGAGAAACATCTACAAAATTTAATAAAGGTGGTCTTCGGGAACATGTTGTTTCAGATGTTGAATTAGATTATGATAAAGATACTAAAGATAAAGGAACTGGTTATATTAGTCCAGATAGTTCAGGTATTGAAGAAATCAATGAAGCTGATGTCATTGATGTTGGTGATGATGATGATGATGATGATTCTGAAGATGAAGATAGTGAATCAGAAGAATCAAGTGATGGTGATGATTTATTCGATGATGATGATGAATTTAGACCACAAGGTAAAAAAACTGGTAAAACAAGAGGTAAATATAACAAATCCGGTACTAATAAGAAATTCCCTACCAAAAGAGCTAAAGGTGCAGTTTCTTCTGCAAATTTGTCATATTTAGATGATAAATTAAAAGTTGAAGATTCAATTAAAAAAAATGATGATCAAGAACAAAGTTCCCCATCTAAACAATTAAAATCAAATTTAAATTCATCTGCAGACGCTTCAATTGCTTCATTACCATGTCGTGAAGATCAATTTAATCAATTATATATTAAATTGGAATCAAATATCTCATCACAAACTGGGGCATGTATTTATATAAGTGGTACTCCAGGTACAGGTAAAACTGCAACAGTTAGAGAAGTTATTAGAAAGTTATCAAAAGAATCACATCAAAAAAGTGGAATTGATTTCAATTTTGTTGAAATTAATGGTATGAAATTAATGTCACCACAACATTCATTTGAAATTTTATGGAATAAAGTTGATGGATCTAAAACAACTGCATCTGGTGTTCAACAACAATTAGAAACTTATTTTAATCAAGGTAAAGCTGAAAGACCATTAGTTGTCTTGTTAGATGAATTAGATCAAATTGCTACAAAGAATCAATCAGTTATGTATAATTTTTTCAATTGGCCAACTTATTCAAAATCAAAATTAATTGTTGTTGCTGTGGCTAATACAATGGATTTACCTGAAAGAATTTTAACAAATAAAGTTGCATCAAGAATTGGTCTTGATAGAATTCAATTCCCAGGTTATACACATGAAGATTTAAAAAAAATTATTAGTTCAAGATTAGAAATTTTTGATAATGGTGAAATTAATTTAACAAAAGATGCAATTGAATATGCATCAAGAAAAGTTGCAAGTGTTAGTGGTGATGCAAGACGTGCTTTGAAAATTTGTCGTCGTGCTGTTGAAATTGCAGAAACTGATTATGAAGCTGCAGGTAAAATTCATGATCAATTAAATGTTCAAATTTTACATATTAATAAAGCTATAAATGAAATTACAAATTCACCTGTGGCAAATTATATTGCAGATTTATCATTTGTTGGTAAATTATTATTAACTGCTATATTAACAAGAAAAAGAAGAACAGGATTAGCTGAAACTCCATTAGGTGATGTTATTGATGAAGTTAAACAAATTGTTACCTTAAATCCAACAGTTGATCAATCTTTATTTATAACTGAAAATAAAGGTATCTTAGATATCTTATATGAAGATTTTATTATTAGACCAAGAGGTTTTGCTTATGTTTTGAATGAATTAATTGAAGCTGGTATTGTATTACAACAAAATTTAAAATCCGAAAGAACTTCATTAATTAAATTAGGTATATCAGATGAAGAAATTAAATCAGTTTTTAAAAAGGAAAAATCATTACAATATTTTTTAAAATTAATTACTGATGCATAAAGAGTTGTGTTCTAACCTTATACTATCGTTTTATTATTAGTTGTGCTTGATTTATATGTGGTTGTTTTGTTTGATGATATTTTTTTTTTCTTAGAATCATACAGCTTTTTTTTAACCTTATCCTTTTACATTTCCCTTTTATATTTTTTATCTCCTCCTCCTTTATTACCTATTATATACTGTATGCTAAATTGTAATATATATATTATTATTTTAAAAATTTCCATGTCATGTAGTTACCATTAATTTATTGATTCATTTTTATAAATTAAAATAGGTTCACCAATATTTTTTAATTCAGGTAAATTTAATTGTAAATCAAAAGATTTTGACATTAAAATTTTGAAAACTTTTTGAATATTAATTGAATCACTTGATGATGTAAAAATTAAACTTGACTTCATTGCTTTTGAATATTTAAAACTTTGAATTGTTAACTTTTTTTGATATTCTTCAGACATTTCTAAAAATAAATCATATTTAGTACCGACTAAAAGGGGTATAGCTGTTTTATTTTGTAATCTAACTTGTTTATACCATTCTTTTAAATTTATTAATGATTGTTTTTTAGTTAAATCAAACATAAATATTATAGCAACTGCTCCATCTGTTGTTAATGGTAACATCTTGGAAAATTCTAAATCTCCACCTAAATCCCAAATTGTAAATTTTATATCTGTTGAATTTAATTCAATTTGTTTTTCCATAAAATTAACACCTAATGTTTTTTTATAGTTTGAATCAAATGTATTGTTTGTATATTTAACCATTAATGAAGTTTTACCAATTTGTGAATCACCTATCAGTGCAACTTTAACAGCGACACTTGTATGTATTAGTTAATGATCATGAGACATAAAGATAATAACAGTATCAACTTACGAATTTCTGATTTGATTTTCATGTAAAGGAGGTACAGGTGGATTTACCATGGTGTATTAAATTATTAAGTGATTGTGTCTAGCGAATGATTTTTTAGTTTTAGCTCTAGATTGTATCTTCAAAGGTTTGTTTACATATGTATGAAATCCCAATGTTTACATTTCGATAAATGAAGATCATGACAGCCCTAATCCTGAATGTCTTAGTCACACAACTTCCCATTAGGGCACATTCTTGACCAAATGGTGTCCGGGTTCCACTTCTCAACGTGACTACCTTTTCATTTCCTCTACCAATCTACACCTGAACACCTCCACTTCCCAGCCCGGTTCTCACACACCCAAACAATCCCAAACCAAATTTTCAATCATAATTTTTCGCGAAAACTCAATGAATGCGCGAAAACTTTTGTATGGGAGCGTTCGCTAAACAGTGTGAGGAAATTCTGGTGAGTGTTGGTGTGTTGTGCTCGCTGATACTCTGAAAATTTCAACACTCTTTCCATAAAATTAAAAGAAAAAGCTTTGAGTTATAACAACAACACAAACTTATTGAATAACCATCAATTAAATCAAAATGGCTGTTGGTAAAAATAAGAGACTTTCTAAAGGTAAAAAAGGTCTTAAGAAGAGAGCTGTTGATCCATTCTCAAGAAAAGATTGGTTCGATATTAAAGCTCCATCAACTTTTGAAAATAGAAATGTTGGTAAAACTTTAGTTAATAAATCAACAGGTTTAAAAAATGCTGCTGATGCTTTAAAAGGTCGTGTTGTTGAAATTTCATTAGCTGATTTACAAGGTTCTGAAGATTATGCTTTTAGAAATGTCAAATTAAGAGTTGATGAAGTTCAAGGTAAAAATTTATTAACAAATTTCCATGGTATGGATTTCACTTCAGATAAATTAAGATCAATGGTTAGAAAATGGCAAACTTTAATTGAAACTGCCGTTACTGCTAAAACTGCTGATGATTATGTTATTAGAGTTTTCGGTATTGCTTTCACTAAACGTCAATCAAATCAAATTAAAAAAACTACTTATGCTCAATCATCTCATATTAGAGCTATTAGAAAAGTTACAAGTGATATTATTGCAAGAGAAGTTCAAAATTCAACTTTAGCTCAATTAACTCAAAAATTAATTCCAGAAGTTATTGGACGTGAAATTGAAAAATCAACTAAAGGTATTTTCCCATTACAAAATGTTCATATTAGAAAAGTTAAATTATTAAAACAACCAAAATTTGATTTAGGTGCTTTATTATCATTACATGGTGAAGCTTCTCCAGAAGATAAAGGTAAAAAAGCTACTGGTGGTTTCAAAGATGAAATTTTAGAAACTGTTTAAGTTAGTTTTACACATTTAAAAGTTTGATGGATATATAACTTTAAAAAAATATTATTTGTAATTCATAGAAATAAAAGCATGTAGTGTTTCATATTATACAACGTATTTAGATCTTTTCATATATATTCACCATTATCATTTATATTACATCACCTGCTACTTAGCAAAATCTATATATTGACATTTAGTGCTATATACCACATCATGAGTTCCAACGTATGTTAATCATACATCGTACTTCATCAATTTCTTCAAAATCCTGTTCTTTCCCTACTCTCCCTACTTTTCACTACAGCTAAATCATTTTAAAACTCCAAAACTTTCTATAATTAAATTAAAGTCTATATAATATTACAAAATACAAGTTAAACAAAAAATATGCAAACTCCAAAAAAATATGTAAAAGATTATTAAATAAATAAGTGATAAATATATGTACTTAATAAACTTTCTAATAAAACAATAACAAAGGACCTAGGCCCTAGATCTCAAAGGACAAGGGGGAACAACTTATTTAAATAAACGTTTTTCAAAAGAATGTAATGAATGAACACCACCTTCTAATTGAGAAGAAGGAGATCTAAATTCAAATCTAACTTCACCTTCATTAGTTTTAGTTTTCAATTCTTCAACAGATTTAACACCAATATCTTGACAAGAATGTTGTAAACCATTAAATAAATAAGGAATATATTTCTTGATAGAACCTTTATCAACAACAGAACCAGAAACACCTTGAGCAACGAAAACTTTATCAGATTCACTAAAATATCTTGATGTTGATGCATTACCTTGAACATCAGTTTGTTGCATAGCTTCAATTGAACCCATACCTCTATAAGATTTTAAACGTTTACCATCTCTATAGAAATAATCACCTGGTGATTCAGTTGTACCAGCTAACATACCACCCATCATAATACATGAAGCACCAAGGGCAATAGCCTTGGTGATATGACCAATATTACCAATACCACCATCTGCAATACATGGAACACCGAATTTTGAAGCAAATTGTGTAACGTTATAAACGGCGGTACCTTGAGGTCTACCACAAGCCATAACTTCTTGTGTGATACAGATAGAACCGGACCCCATACCAATTCTTAAAGCATCTGCACCAGCTTGAATTAATTGAGCAGCTTGTTCTCTTGTAACGACATTACCTGCGATAACTTGTAAATCTGGATAAGTTTCTTTAATGAATTTAATCATATTTAATTGGAAAATAGAATTACCTTGAGAAGAATCCAAAACAACAACATCTAAACCAGCTTCAACTAATTTTGATAATCTTTCTTTATCAGAATCTAAAGTACCAATAGCAGCACCACATAATAATTGTTTTGAAGTAGCAGATTTTGAAGCATTTGGATAATTTAAATTTTTTTGTAAATCAGTTCTTGAAACTAATGAAATTAAATTACCTTCAGAATCAACAATTGGTAATTTACCCTTTTTAGATTTTCTAAGGGTTTCATTAGCTTGTTCTAAAGTTAAACCTTTATTACCAGTGATTAAATCTGTAACCATAACATCTTTAACTAATGCGTCATGTTCTTCAATGAATTGAATATCACGGGAGGTTAAGATACCAACTAATTTATCACCAACTTTACCAGTTTCTATAATGTTATTAGTATTTAAAGTCATTGGTTATGGACTGTTATCTCAATTTCTGTTAAATCAGTAAATAAGTTTCCTCAAGATCGTTTGATCACAAATCGGTAGAACGAAAGTTATAAATATAAAAGATAATCATCATAAAAGGGGTGGAAACTGAGATATTAGTAAAGATAAAAAGATTATAACATACCAGTCACTGGGAATCCAGCAAAACCTAATTGTTGTTTTAAAGCTTGAATTTCACCAATAGTTTGATTTGGACTAATAACAACAGGATCATTAATAAACCCATTTTCAAATCTCTTGACAGCTTTAACCATTTCAGCTTGTTCTTCAGCAGTACAATTATGATGAATAATACCAATACCACCTAATAAAGCCATATGAATAGCCATATCAGATTCAGTAACAGTATCCATTGGAGATGAAACAAATGGAGTTCTTAATGAAATTTTCTTAGTTAATTTAGTATCTAATGAAACCTGGGAGGATGGGAAATCAATTTTTCCTGGTAAAACTAAGATATCATTATAAGTTAAACCACCTCTAACTTGAGAATCCATTAATTCATGAACACTTAAACCATCTTTACGATCATAAGTTTTCAAGTATTCTAAAGCAGTGGTGTAGTCTTGAACGGACATTGTTGATTGATTTGACTGTTATTGTTTTATAAAAAGCTATTAGTATAGGGACAAAAGCCAGATTGCCAGAAAAATAGAAAGTATCTAAATGATTAAATTAATTGATGGATTTTGATTACTTATATAGAAAAAAAAATTTTTACTTGCAGATGTTGCACTTGACAATTTTGGTATTCCATGGAATTTCTGGTTTAAAAGGTGAAATAAAGGAATAGTAAATGAATAGTGATAGTAAAGAAAGAAGGTGATATATTAATTAGAAAGTAATGGTAAGGATAGGGTATGGTTTAGTTGTGAGTAGTATAAGTGTTGGTGTTGGTGTTGGTGTTGGTGGTGTTGATGGTATTCATGTATTCATTCTTACTAGATCTAAGCATCTAAGCCCTGGTATTAATCAATAGGTCAGAGTCAATAGTCAACATTATGATGATGATATTGACATTGATAGTAAAGTATATAATCAACTACTGGTGAATAGTATTGTACAGTATCTTATAGTATATTCCACGGGCCTCGCTCCTCGTAACATGGTATAACTATCATAATTATCACTTGTAATGATTATTTGTAATTGAATGAGCCTTTGGTAAACCGCGGATTAGATTGGATACACATATTTTTACACTAAAAACATATAAATAACTGGGGAATGATGGGAATAATGGGAATAACGTATACTATAACACCATGAATACATTACTATCAATATATTACTACTCTATAACAATTATAATGTCTAGTTCTTATTATTTATTTGTCTATAATTGTGTCTGCCATTTCACGTGTAATTTAATTTGTATTTTTATACCTTTTGAAAAATAAACAAATGTAAACAAAACATTGACATTGACATTTGATGGCAAATTGAATAATTGACATTCATTGATATATTATTATATTGGTATATCACCGCATTCACTTCTATACTGTGTTATTAATTTAATCACTTGTCTTTTTACTAGTTGTTCTGCTGCTCATTATGGATCAAAGCTCATATAATCATCAAAGAACTCCATATCCAAATACTGAATTACAATGGGACCCTTTAGAATCTTTACAAGAATTTAATAAATCAACTTATTCAAATTATATCCAGAACTTGAACTTGGATTCATTAAACTTACAACAACAACCAATACAACAAAATGGTACTCATGGCCCTCCATTACCAAATAGACCTCCTCAACATATCATTGATCAACATATAAATCATATAAATCAATCTTCAAGATATCAATCACCAATGTATCAATCTCAACAGCAAGACTTGTATCAATCATCTCCTTCTCCTTCAAGAGTTAAAGGTCCAAGGGAATTACCAAATAAATTTTCAAATTCAAATTTAAATTCATTTATTAATACTACTCCAACAAGACAATATGTCAATTCATCAATACCAAATTCAATTAATAATTCACCATTGCAATATAATCAAAACTATAACAATTCAAGTCCACAACCATATCAATTCAATTCTCCATCCACCATACCTAAAACATCATTCCCAACAAGTCCATCAATCCAACAATCTCCACCAAAACCTTTAAAAATTAATACAAACTATACACAAGATTTTAATCAAGATTTTAATCCTTTTGATGATTCAAATAAACTTTCGAGTGCTATATCATCAACTCAAGATTTACCAGATACTCCATCATTAACTCCATCATCTGCACTAAGAGAATCAATATCTTTCACAAATTCAAGAAAAGATCCTTCACCAACAAGATCAATATTAAGAGGTCCAAGATCAATGCCAAATAATTCAAGTAATAATTCTTCACCTACAAAAATTGATTATTATGATCATAGAACTAGTTGGAATTCAGAATATTCTATTAATGTCTTACCTGCTGATGAAATTGATGATCATCAATCTATAAATATAAATAATGAACTAAATGAAGATGAATATGAACGTGAATATGAACCTCAACCACAACCACAACCACAACCACAACAAATTAAAGAAATAATACCACCAATCCCAAGAACAAAATCTTTATTTAACCCTAGAGAAATTGAAATACCATCATCACCTCCACCAAGATCAAATACAATAAATACAATAAGTGCAAATAAAAATTTACCAAATTTACCAACAAATTTAAACCTACCATCATTACCATTCTCCTCGGTCTCATTAGATGATGAACATTTCTCCCAGTGTGGTGATATTCAATACTTATCAGAAATTTTTAAATGGTGTAAAAAATTAATTGAAATTTGGTCAGAAGGTTCATTAATATCCCTAATAGAATTTAAAAAATGTTTAAAATCTTTAATTCAATGGAAAACTAAATTAAATTCATATATAATTGATCATAATATTGATTCAATAATATCATCCTTAGAGAGACAAAATTCTATATATTTTGATGATTACCAAAATGTTTTCCTGATGGATAATATTAAAGTCAATGGTGTTTTACCTCAATTAACTGGTTGTTATTCTAAACATACCCCAGAACAAGAAACAGGATATCAATGTTATTCATCACGTTGTTTTTATACAATTTATAAAAATCAAGTACCTCTTGTCCCATCAAAAGAATCAAATCAATCAACTTTAGGTGAATGGACTGTATATTGGAATTTAACACTTCAAGAATTAAAAGAAATTGATGAAATGGAAGTTAAAAAACAAAGTCATATATTTGAATTAATTAGACAACAACAAAATATTATAAAATTAGGTGAAATTCAAATTAAACAATATGGTGATTCATTTAAATCCCATAAACCTCAATTATTACCAAATATTACAAAATTTTATAATGATGCTTTTAATTCTGTTAAACCCCTGATTGAAATTCATAAAAAACATTTATTAGAACCTTTATTAAATAAATTAAATTCACAGGGGAAATTTATAAATAATATTGGTGAAATTTTCTTAAATTGGACTCAGTTGGCAACGGTACCTTATTTAAAGTATACTGAAAAATTAGCAACAGTTCGTGAATTAATTAAATTTGAAAAAAAAAATAATACACAATTTGCAAAATGGTTATATTCAATTGATTCAAATCCAATAGTTTCACAAGCATCATTAGATCATAATAGAATTTTTTTCAGTGGATTTATTGGTCATACACAATTATTATCATTAGCATTAAATTCTGTTTGGAAAAAAACCAAGACCAGTGAATTTGATTATAAAATTTTACAAAATGCTATAGGGGAAATTAATAAATTAAATAGGAAAATTGATGAAATGCAAGATTCCGCTCTGCAAAATCGTCATTTAAAATTATTATCAAATAGATTAACTTGGAAAACAAATGTCTTAATTAATGAATTAAGATTAAATGAACCAAATAGAAGATTAATTAAAGAAGGTCATGTAATGAGGAAAAGAGAAAAATGGATCACATCAACTTATTACCTAATCCTGATTGATAATTATTTATTAATAACTGAACCTCAAAAGGATGAAACTTTTAAAATTTCTGAAAAACCAATCCCAATTGAATTCTTACAAATTGAAACAAAAAATTTCTTACCCCCAACAACACCTAATGAACAAGAAGGTGAATCTTATCCTTTTAAAATTCGTTATACAGGACAAAACTTATCATATACATTCTTCACAAACACGCTAATTGAAAGAGATAATTGGTTTAATGCTATAAATCAAGTTCAATTTAAAAAAGTTAAAAATTCAAATTTTGAACCTTTTAAAATTTCTATAATTACTGATCAATTTGCTTATGAAGATGGTGAAGAACCTAAGAAATTACCTGTATTGGGTGAAGGTTCAAATGTTGAAATTTCATTAAAATCATTTGAACAAGAGAAGGTAAATTTAAATTTACCAAAAATTTCTAGGACTTTGATGATGAGTGAAGTTTTAAGTTTTACAGAGTTCCAATATCAGGATAAGAAATTTTATGCCTTGGGTTTGAATTTTGGGTTATATATAACTGAAGTTGATGATTTATTGAATTGGATAAGAGTTTTAGAATTAACCAAAATTACACAATTAGAACAACTAGATTCCCTATTGATTTTAATTTCAGATAAGGCATTATATTCTTTCAACCTTGTGGGATTATTAATTAATTATTATAATCAAAATTATGATTCCAAAATAATTGGAGAAAAATTAAGTAAAAAAGATGTCCTAAAATTCAAGATTGGAATTTATAATAATACAAAAATTTTATTTATATTAAAAGCATCAATAACATACTCTGGTACAAAATTTAAAGTCCTAACACCAATTTTCAATAACTGGGGAGAATTCCAATATTTCCAAATTTATAAAAAATTTCAATATGATTATGAATGTTTTGGAATTTCAATATTTAATAGTATGTTCATCTTACATACCTCCAAGGGTTTTGAAATCTTATCATTCCAAATCCTTAATGAATCACAACCAATCCCAAAATTCATTGAATCAATGAAAAAACCCAAAACAGAAATAGAACTAATCAAAAAAAAATTATCATCAACAACAAGTTCAAATTTAACTTCATTATCATCATCAATAAAACCATTATCAATGATTAAAGTCTTTGCCAAACCACAATTTTATTTGATTTATGATTCTTTTGTTATAGTTATTGATACAATAGGTCAATTAATTTCAGATAATTTTATATTCCCATTTAAATTTAAATGTGATAAAATTTCTATAGTTCAAAATTTTTTAATTTGTATTGGTGATGATATTATTGAAATTTTTGATTTGAATTATGATGATGTTAAAGGTTTTACCAAATTTGATCCAGTTCAGATTATTAAAGGTAAAGATATAAAATTGATTGATGAAGATTATTGTAAGATTGTTATGGCACATCCTTCAGTTCAAAGAAGACAATTAATTTTTTCTTTAGACTTGATTGTATAAAAAGACAATGAATTTTACGTTTAATGAGAAATAAATAATTTTATATGTAGTATTTATAGAATTATAAACAAATCATAACCTGATGATCTTTAACCTCTTTTTCTTATTTTTATATTATATCAATTTCTAAATGGACTTTCATGAATATTTGAAAAAGAATTTTGTCGACTATTAATATGAATAGAATTTCTTGGAGTATTAAAACTTGTTCTTGAATTTATTGGAGTTAATTGATTTGAATTTAATGATTCAGCTCTAGATTCACCTCTTGATTCTAAAGTATTTATAGTATTAATACTTGCTGAACTATTTAATCTTAATTTTTTCATTAAATTATTAACATCAACTAAAGGTTTCTCTAATAAGGGTTTTTCAATCTTAAATAATTTTATACCACTACCATTCCAAATATTAATTTGTAATATACTTTGATCAAATTCCCAATTTTTTACAAATTCATTTGTATTTGATTGATTTTTATTATTCCAATTAAATCCCCAATTATTAGCAACTTCTTTCAGACTTGATAATCCTGATAATCCAGAATTTTTACCTTTATTTAAAAACCAATTTGAATTACCATGATTGTTTAAATTTTTTTGATATTGATAAGAATTTAAATTGAAAACATCACCCCATAAAATGGATTCATACCAACCTAATGATATAGAAGACCAATTAAATTTTAAAGTTTCAAAAGGAGTCTTTTTATTAAATTCAGATGATGAAATTTTTAAAAGTTTCAATTCCAAATCCGGGATATTTTCAATCTTAATTAAAATTTCCATAATTTCTAAACTTGTTGATGTTGAAATATTTTGAACTTCTTCCTTTATGAAATCAATAAATTTAATTAATGTTTTCAAAGCTTTAAATCCAGTCCATGTCTTTGATAATGGTGCATCAATTGGTAATTTACTTTTAGCTTTTGAAGACATTCCAATTGGAGGTTTTGGTTTTAAACTTTCTTCAAATTCTTCATCTTCATCTTGTTCTTCATTATCAGTACCAGACTGAGAATCATCTTGAGCTTCATCTTCATCATCATTAGTAGTAGTGGTTGTTGTTGTGGTTGTGGTATCATCATCATTTAAATCATAAGTTTCAATTTTGCTCAACAATTTTCTAAAAATATCTTCATGTTTAACAATATTATAAATTAAACTTCTTGATTCTTGAGGAAATCTTAAACAAGAATTTATTAAAGATCTAATTAAAATTGCAAATAAATCTAATTTAATTGGGTTAATCAAAAAACTTTTATTTTCTGAAATTTTAGAAATTAAGTTTATAAGAGATAATGATGCTTGATATGAAAGAAAATTTTTATTATTCTTTAAATGAGTTATTGAAGTTGATGTTGTTGATATTGGATCTTGTTTTATAGGAATCAAATTATATAAATAATTGAAAAAATTTGGTGTAATTATAAAATCAAATTGTTGGGATGAACAATCTTGTGACAGGATGGAACATATTTGAATTATTAAAAAATCTCTCCATGTTAAATTTCCAATTTGATTATTATTCAAGTTTGAAATTTTAAAAAAATTTGGAATTTGATTATAATAATAATTTTGATTTATTGGTGTTATTAATCTTGTTTGAACTTGAGGGTCAGATGTTAAATATGTTAAAAAATAACAAATAATTCTAATTAAATTTGATTTATATAAACCTGATTTATAATGTTTTAAATGGAAAATTAAAATTATAATTAATTCATGAACTTTTTTGGAATATATGAAATTTTTAAAATTTTTATTTGATTGAATTAATTCCCATAATAATATAGTTAATTCCATATTCCAATTTGATAAATTTGGTAAATATGATGAGTAATTTGATAAATTACTTGTTAAAGTATTTGCAGATGATGATGAGTTAGATGGTGATGATGAACTATTTGGAGATATTGATTTTATTAAATTAAAAGGATTTAATTCATTTTCCATAGATTGTTCCATTGGTTTATTTAAAAATGAAATAATTGAATTTGAAATAAAATTTAATTCATTCTCTTTATGTAATCTTCCAAAATATGAACGAACTAAATTATGAATTTTTTCATTAGAATTTAAGATCCTTAATTTATATAAAAATTGAACATCATTTGTTGGAATAGGATAAACAATCATTATTGTTAATAAATTTAATGAAATTGTAATGAAACTTCTTCTTAAATCTTGATATTTAACATTTTGAAATTGTGATTCTTTATAATATAATCCATTTAATTCAGGATCTGATTTACATGAACGACAAATTAAATTTAATAAAGAACAAATCAATGTTAAAATTTTTAATTTCCCTAAAGTTGATACCAAGATTGTTAAAAATCTTGAACCTGTTGAAACAATTTTTGTTGGTTGAATATAAAGTCCTTGTGATGATAAAGTTAAAATTAATCTAAGCACTTCTAATCTATTTGAATCTAATTCCGGAGTTGGATTTGAATATTTCCCATTTGAACCAATACCAACTTCCCAAATTTTAAAACCAACTCCCAAGACATCATTTTTAATTAATGTAAACCCTCTTGTAAATAATAAATCCACCAAAATATGAATTAAATTTTCACCTAAACATTTATTTTGAATATTTCCACCTCCACCAATATGAACAGTTTGAGAATCAGGAGATTTAGGGAATAAAGGTTGATTTATTCTAACTTTTGTTGATGAATTTGTAAAATTTGAATCAATTGTATCAGTTGATTGAGTTCCTATAGTTGCATTATCTGAATTCCCAGTATTGGGGGAATTTATATCTATAGTATTATAATTTAAATTCCAAAATAAATTATTTATATCTTGTGTAAATTCCAATTTTTCAAATAATATTGGTAAAATTTTTGTTAAATATCTAATACAATTTAATAACTGTTTTATATTCAAATCATTTGGTTTTGTTTGTATGATTTTTGATAATTCAATCAATTTCAAACATAATATTCTTATCCAATTTAAAAAATTTGATTTATTTGAATCTCTAATTAATTTTAAATCATTAAAAGTTAATAAATTATAAATATCTTGAGCAGAATCAGGTTCTTTCCAAAAAATTTCCCAAAATTCATCATTTGATTGTATAGGACTTGAATCAATTGGATCTTGAGAACCTAATAATCTAAAGATTTTTTGTTTATATTGAGATTTTAAATCAGCAGAGTTCATGGTGGTATGATAACAAATACAATGAATATATCCTTAATCAGTACACAGAGCAGCACAGGAGCACACAGTAATCAAGATGAAAATCAGCAACACCAACAAACCACAGCCTAATGTCCTGGTATCCACTAATCCACCAAAACAACAGCCCCTATTAACTATAGGATAAAACAATTGAATTGAGAACAAAGCGTTTACTTTATTGTTTACTAATTTCTCTCATTTTTCTAAATTTTTGATTTTCTTTATGGAAGAATTAAAAAATTGAGTGTCCAAATCACAAAAAGATAAAAATGTTGATAAAATGAAGAAACAATGAAATGATAAAAGGTGTGATAAATGGTATAAATATGATAGTAATTAATAGTAATAGATATCACCATCTTCTTCTACGATGTCGGTTTCCTTCGTATCTCATTTATTTCATAATAACTAATAATATAATAAAACTAATATAATAAAACTGATATAATAATAACTTATAGTATAGTAAGAGCATATCTAAATACCTGCTATCGCAGGCATTCAGCTATTCAAAATTCAACACTTTCAAATCCTCTTTTAACACCAACTTGTCCAAAACTCTTATCATTACCCATCTTTTCATCAATATATTGTAATCTTTCTTCTAAATTAGATTCCCATTCATCAAGACTTGAACCAAATGAACTAGTATTTTCAGAAAGCATAGGAGGTTTAACTATATCAGAAGGTAATGGAACTCTTAAAGGTTTTTTATATTCTGGTATTGGTTGTTGTGATTGTAATTGTGGTTGATTTTGATATCCTTGATTGACAAAGTATCTTATTCTTGTTGGTACAACTTTTAGAGCTTCTTGATGTGGATATTGTTCTGATGATTGTAAAGTGTGGTTGAGTTGTCTCTTGACTTGTGACATATTGATTATTGTATTGTATTGTATTGTATAGTTACTTGTAGTTGTACTTGTTTAGTTGTAGTTCATTAATCGTCTGATTTTATTTAATTTCAGTTTTTTTTAATTGCGAATTTCCCTTTTAAGAAGAATTAAATACATAGGATCAAAAGTCATGTGACTAAGGCATATAATTGTAATTAATTGAATAAATTTGTTAGTAATGTATATTTTATTAATATATTATAATATTCTATGAAATTTAAGGTATTTAATGGTATATTTATTATTGTGTTTACATGGGTTTGAAATTTGGGAATTTCAAAATTCATAGATTTTATTAACCAATAATAATTTATTTTTACTTTAATTTTAAATAAATTTAAAAACAATAATTTTTTTTTCTTTGAAATCCACTTTTAATATATACTTTTGGATAGATATAGCTTACTAGTTTATATATATATATATTAATAATAGATCATCATAATACAATTATTAAAAGTTATAATTAATAGTTTATTGTTATGACTAATCCATGACTAAGCAGTATAACTATCAACTATACAATACAAGTAAATTCAACACAATTAATAAAAGTACAAAATATAATATACGAATATTTAGAGTTGAAGATTCTACATTATATACAATGGATTACTAGATCGTATCACTATAAACTGATTTCTACTATCACTACTACTACTACTACTACTTCCATATATTTACCCTACATAATTTCAACCCCATACTACAGATCATTATCACTAAATCATCAAATCATCAAATCATCAAATCATCAAAAACTAATTAAACGTCATTAATTAACACGCCGTTATAATTTAAACATGATAATAAAATGCCCTATGATCTTAAATCACATTAATTGAATTTAATTGGTTATTCTTTTAAACAATTTCATCATCTTTTTTTCAAATTCGCTTTATTTATCACTTAACTGAAATTTATTATTATGTTTTCCACTATGTACACTTTATAGCGATTAATGAACAACACAATTGACAACAAAAGATTATTATATAAACCATGAAATATCCTTAAATTATCAACAGTCAACAACTACTCATCAAAAAAGTTATCAACAAAATGTCACTCTCTTCACAACAATCAAAAGATTTGGAGTCTAAATACTCTGCACATAATTATCATCCATTACCAGTTGTATTCCATAAAGCCCAGGGGGCTCATGTTTGGGATCCAGAAGGTAATGAATACTTAGATTTCCTTAGTGCTTATTCTGCAGTTAACCAAGGTCATTGTCATCCAAAAATTATAAAAGCACTTACTGATCAAGCTCAAATTTTAACACTAAGTTCTCGTGCGTTTCATAATGATAAATTTTCAGAATTTGCCAAATTTATTACAGATTATTTCCAATATGAAATGGTATTACCAATGAATACTGGTGTTGAAGCTGTGGAAACTGGTATTAAATTAGCAAGAAGATGGGGTTATATCAAGAAAGGTATCCCAAATAATGAAGCTATTATCCTTAGTGCTTCAAATAATTTCCATGGTAGAACTCTTGGTGTTATTTCAATGAGTACTGATCCGGATGCTACTACAAAATTTGGTCCTTTTTTACCAAAAACTGGTCCATTGATACCAGGTACTGATGATAAGCTCTTGAGATATGGTGTTATTGAAGATGTTGAATTGGCATTCCAAAATGCAGGTGATAAAATTTCTGCTATCTTATTAGAACCAATCCAAGGTGAAGCTGGTATTGTTGTACCACCAAAAGACTACTTTACCCAAGTTCAAAAACTTTGTAAACAATATAATGTCTTGCTTATTGCTGATGAAATTCAAACTGGTATTGCAAGAACAGGAAAATTATTATGTTATGAACATTATCCAGAAGTTAAACCTGATATTGTCCTTTTAGGTAAAGCTATTTCAGGTGGTGTATTACCAGTTAGTGCTGTTTTATCATCAAGGGAAATTATGTTAACTTTAGAACCAGGTTCTCATGGTTCAACATATGGTGGTAATCCTCTAAGTTCAGCAGTTGCAATTGCAGCATTAAAAGTGGTTCAAGAAGAAAATTTAGTATCAAGAGCAGAATCATTAGGTTCATTTTTCAAAAAAGAGTTAATTAAATTACAATCAAAATTTCCTAATGTGATTACAGAAGTTCGTGGTGTTGGTTTATTAACAGCTATTGTAATTGATCCAAAGGGAACAGGGGGGAAAACTGCATGGGATTTATGTCTTTTAATGAAGGATTTTGGAGTTTTAGCTAAACCTACTCATGATGATATTATTAGATTGGCTCCTCCTTTGGTTATAAGTGAAGAAGATTTATTGAAAGGTGTTGAAGGTATTGAAAAGGGGTTGGAGAAATTGATAAAATAGACGAACAGCGGTTTACCGCTGTGAGACTGATTTAATATTGTGCTTTTTTATTTTATCTTGTTTTTAGCTAGTTTCAATTCTTTTATATATAATAAAAAGTATTATTCATTGAATCAAATTGTAGATTATAATATAATAATTGAACTCAATTAATAAATTATATCATCAACAGCAAAATTTAACCAAATGAAATCAAAATAACCAGCTTTAAATATAGTATAAAACATCATAAGAATAATAATATGAAAATATTAACTTTGAATGGCTTTCATCAATCAATGCCTTTTTTTCACCAAATTTGATTAATAACCGCCATGGTATATATAACCGATGAACCCCATACCCAAAGCCCTTAAGACATAAAGATCAAGGATAAATAAGGATAAGATAAATATTTAAATATTGCAGAGTATATATTGGTATTTGTATTTGAATTGTTTTGTTTTGTTTTGTTTTGATTTAATCAGATCATAATGGAATAAATCGGATAATTCATAGTATCATAGTTAAGGTTTGAAGGATGAAAAACCACACCAAATTATAACTTGTTGAAAATGATATAAATTGAATATATTGATTCTTGAATAACAATTGAATTAAGATTATAATATTATAATATTAAATTGAATTGATAATTTATAATTGATAATGATTTAAACTTTTGATTATAAATTGATTAAAACCCATGTCATCTAGTATATAATAACAATGACCATAACTATAATAATTAGTACCCATCAATTACTAATACCATAACATACTATACCATATACCATAATATACTATAGTCTATACGTCTATACCATATATTATAACATTGTATTTCCTAATCAAACTTTCATCTGATGTTTTATCAACCTTTGTAAACTTTGATCAACTGTTTGTCTGTTTGTCAACTGATGATTGGAACCACATGATTATATGCAAAGCAATAAAACAACAAACAACAACAACTTTACCCAGTGGTACCTACATACAATTGACCCATAGTAAACTAATAACTCATAACACAATAAAGCATCTGATCTTAATGTACTACTAAATACTAAACTGATGATAATTACTTTTGTTGTAATGTTTGTCATCACTTTGATCATCACGAGCATCACCGGACCGTTAATTACCAACAATCTCAATTGTACAACATAGTGTTAAAACAGGATAACTTGATGATTATATGTGATATTAAGTTCAAACAAGTACCAATAAATAGATAATTAATAGCTCTATAATATATCATTTAATTGAATTAATATCAATAGTTGTTGTTTAATTATCCCTAGTTTTCTGGTTAAAGTTACACCATCAGATGGTTCACCACCAATGTTGTTCAAACCATTTCCACTCAACTGACGTTTCAAGAACATCACCTGAAAAAAAAAAATTCATCACACATTGGGAGAAATTGGGAGAATTGTATATAAGGAGTTGAAATCGCTAATATTTTTATACTTCTACTCACTTGTTTTAATTCTACATCAGTATTTTATAATACAAAAACAAACAAACAAACAAATAATTAATTAACAATGGCTATCACAGTTGGTATTAACGGTTTCGGTCGTATTGGTCGTTTAGTCCTAAGAATTGCTCTTTCAAGAAAAGATATTCAAATTGTTGCAATTAATGATCCATTCATTGCACCAGAATATGCTTCATATATGTTTAAATATGATTCTACTCATGGTCGTTATTCAGGTGAAGTTTCTCATGAAGGTGAAAACATTGTTATTGATGGTAAAAAAATCAGAGTTTATCAAGAACGTGATCCAGTTAATATCCCATGGGGTAAAGATGGTGTTGATTATGTTATTGATTCAACTGGTGTTTTTAAAGAATTAGATTCTGCTCAAAAACATATTGATGCCGGTGCTAAAAAAGTTGTTATTACTGCTCCATCATCAACTGCTCCAATGTTTGTTGTTGGTGTTAATGAAGATAAATATACTCCAGATTTAAACATTATTTCAAATGCTTCATGTACAACAAATTGTTTAGCTCCATTAGCTAAAATTATTAACAATAAATTTGGTATTGAAGAAGGTTTAATGACTACTGTTCATTCAATTACTGCTACTCAAAAAACTGTTGATGGTCCATCTCATAAAGATTGGAGAGGTGGTCGTACTGCTTCAGGTAATATTATTCCATCATCAACTGGTGCTGCTAAAGCTGTTGGTAAAGTTATTCCAGAATTGGCTGGTAAATTAACTGGTATGTCTTTAAGAGTTCCAACTGTTGATGTTTCAGTTGTTGATTTAACTGTTAAATTATTAAAAGATGCCACTTATGATGAAATTAAAGCTGCTGTTAAAGAAGCTGCTGAAGGTCCATTAAAAGGTGTTGTTGGTTATACTGAAGATCAAGTTGTTTCTTCAGATTTCTTAACTGATAACAGATCATCAATTTTTGATGCTGAAGCTGGTATTTGGTTATCACCAAGATTTGTTAAATTAATTGCTTGGTATGATAATGAATATGGTTACTCTACCAGAGTTGTTGATTTATTAGAATACGTTGCTTCAAAGAACTAAGAGTAGAACGAAAGCTTTAGCTTGAGTTCTTTAACCTAGTTGTTAATTGAACAAGTATCTAACATGATTATATATTATGAATAAATGAAAATGAGATAATTAATTGTTTTATTAGTAGAATATGAGTATATTATATTAAATTCACGTGATTATTACATAATCAATTATCACGTGGGTGTTTATTTCCCTTTTTCGTCCCTATAAAAACGTTTTTCCGTGAGAATGTGAGAATTTCTGATTAGCTTGGTTATATAGGGTTTATCAACGCTTATGGAAAAATTATAAATTTACTTAATAATAATCCAATTTCCAAAAGAAAAACACTAAAACATAGCCACAAGTCACAAGAATTTAATAACAGTGATACAAATAGGTCATAATATATTACCATATTACGTAGTTAACAGTTGTTTTTCATTGCTATCAATCGCGTACAAAAACTGATAAGCTCATGAGAATCTTGGTTTTTTTTAATTTTGCGCCATGTTAATTTCTAATTTGCATACACCGAAAATCTAAAAACCACACTGATTTTTAGTATATAAGATCAAAAGAATTGCCACTTTCAACAAAACCATAGAACTCAAACTATTACCACTGCTATTGTTCAATTTATGACTCAGTTATCATTTAGTCAGATCTCTTTCCTAACTTTCCAAGCTGTGGTTCAAGTTATTATTGTATGTTTTGCAGGATTTTGGGCTGCAAAAACTGGATTATTAAATAAAAATGCTCAAAAAATTGTTAGTGTATTAAATGTTGATTTATTTACTCCAGCTTTAATTTTTAGTAAATTAGCAAAATCATTGTCCTTAAAGAAATTATTAGAAATTATTGTTATACCTATTTTTTATGCAATTTCTACAGGGATTAGTTATATTGTTTCCCTAATAGTTTCAAAATTTTTTAAATTTGATGAATATGAATCAAATTTTGTTATTGCAATGAGTGTTTTTGGTAATTCAAATTCTTTACCAGTCTCATTAACAGTTGCATTATCTTATACTTTACCAAATTTAGAATGGTCAGATGTTGATAATGATTCACCAGATCAAATTGCTGCAAGAGGTATCTTATACTTGTTAATTTTCCAACAAATTGGTCAAGTTTTAAGATGGTCTTGGGGTTATAACACTTTATTGAAAAGGAAACCAACTCCTTTAAATTCTTATACTGTTGATGTTGAAGATAGATCTCAAAGGTTTCCAACTCCTGGTTCAAGTGATTCTGATTATTCAAAATCAAGTCCTGCAGATCATTTATTATCAATAGAACCAAATTATGATGAATCAATTGAAAGAGCAAATTATAATGATTATTATGAAGAAACTTCCCTATTAAAGAAAACATGGTTTAAACTATCTCAATTCTGGTCTAATTTCCTAAGTTTTATGAATCCTCCATTATATTCAATGATTGCTTCAGTTATCGTGGCATCAATCCAACCAATTCAAAAAGCTTTATTCATTGATGATGGATTTTGGCATAATACTATAGCAGAAGCTATAATTCAATTAGGTTCAGTTTCAATCCCATTGATTCTTATAGTCCTAGGCTCAAATTTATATCCATCATCAGATATCCCACCCGCATCTCAAAACTATAAAAAAATCGTATTTGCCTCACTCATATCAAGAATGATTATACCACCAATCATATTATTACCAATTATAGCCATAGTGGTTAAATTTTTACAAATTTCTATAATTGATGATCCAATTTTCCTCGTGGTGGCATTTATATTAACTATTTCTCCACCGGCTATTCAATTATCACAAATTTGTCAATTGAATGAAATTTTTGAACAAGAAATGGCTGGGGTTTTGTTTTGGGGGTATGTTGTATTGACTTTACCAACTACTATTGTTACTGTTAGTTGTGCTTTAAGAGTTTTAGAATGGGCTGTGCCGTCATAGATGATAATCTGATGTAATTTCGAAGAAATTATATCTGATTATTATTGTATTCAATCAATAGGTGATATACATGGAATTTTATAGAGGTTTGTATATATCATAAGTATACATTTTAGTATAAACAATATGTAAATTAATGAATGAAATCAAAAAGACAAAAAAGATTGAAATTATACCAGATAATTTCAGATATCATGATAAATTGATATTGATGGATATTAACTCCCTCTGATAACTCCCTAACGGTCGTTATCATCGGTCGCTCAGCCCAAAACCAATGATTTAATAACTGTATAATCTTCAATACCATATTTACTACCTTCTCTACCAAATCCACTTTTTTTAACACCACCAAATGGTAAAGCAGCTTCACTCAGGGCACCAGTATTAATACCAATCATACCAATTTCTAAATCTTCAGAAATTTTAAATAATTTATTAATATCCTGGGTATAATAATATCCTGCAAGACCAACATCAATTTTATTATTCCAATTAATAACTTGTTCCTCTGAGGAAAATGGTATGAATGGTGCAATTGGTCCAAAAATTTCTTCTTCCCAAATATCCATATTTTCTTTTAGGTTTGTCAAGATTGTTGGTTGGAAAAAATTACCTGATGAAAGAGGACCTTGTGTAATTGGAGACCCACCAATTTCAATTTTGGCACCTTTTGAAACTGCATCTTTAACTAATTCATCCATTTTCTGAACAGCAGCTTTATTAATTAATGGACCATGTGTAGTATCTGAATCATAACCTTTACCTAATTTAAAACCTTTAACAATTTCTAAAGCTTTGGATAAAAATTCATCATATATGGATTCATGAACAAATATTCTATTTGCACAAACACAAGTTTGTCCACTTTGTCTAAATTTACAAATTTTTAAACCTTCTAAAGCTTTATCTAAATCTGCATCCTGGAAAACAATAAAAGGGGCATTCCCACCTAATTCAAAACTTGCTTTTTTCAAAGTTGATGCAGCATGACTTTGTAAAGTTTTACCAACCCCTGTTGAACCTGTAAATGAAATTTTTTTAATTTTGGGATGTTCACAAACTAATTTCCCAATTTTACTTGAAGAATTTGTTGGTAAAACATTAACAACCCCCTTGGGAATACCAGCTTCAGTATGACCCAAGTATGCAATTGCACTTGCAGTTAATGGTGTAGCACTAGCAGGTTTAATAATTGAAGTACAACCAGCTGCTAAAGCTGCACCTAATTTTCTTGTAATCATTGCAGCTGGGAAATTCCATGGTGTTAAAATACCAACAACACCAATTGGTTGACGAAGGGTTAAGATTTTTTTATTGGAAATACCTGATTGAATAACATCTCCATACATTCTTGGTGCTTCTTCTGCATACCATTGGAAAAATGATGCTGCACTTGTAATTTCTCCAATACATTCATTATATGGTTTACCATTTTCATGACATAAAATTTTGGCAAGATCTTCTTTATGATTAATCATTGAATGGTATAATTTGTTCAACATATTTGAACGATCTCTTGGATTTGTCTTTTTGAAAGATTGGAAAGTATCATAAGCAATATCAATTGCATTATTATAATCATCTTCATTTGCTATTGAAACTTTTAATAATTCTTGATTTGTTGAAGGATCTAAAACTGGGAATTCTTGATTTGTAGAACCTGAAACCCATTCACCATTGATGAATAGTTTAGTTTGGATTAAATCTTGGTTTGATAATTTGATAATTGACATTTTATTATATGTTGAGTGGTGTCTACTAAACAATTTTAAATTTCTATAAAACATGATTATGTCCCAATATTTATATACTGATAATGAATTCTCAATTGAATGATTCAACCGGTATCAGTATCCTTGATTGAAACTTATTGTTCATTATTCCACCTAATTGAAATAAATAGCTTAACTTCATTGTATGTGTTTTTTTGCTGTTTTTGATCAATTGCACTTACTCAGCTATACTTATACGTTTTATATGGGGTAAAAATTAACTGCTAAAACTTTCTTCATAGGAAATTTTTTGTTCCGCGCGGAAAGTTGATTTTATTTGATTTTAACGGGTGTTCTTCAAGTCATGAAAGAACTTGTTATTGGCTGAATCACGAATAAAATGTGCTATAACTACTATATTATATCAGTAATTGATCAATTCATTATACTATATACATATTTAAACATTTCATTCATTTATCAGCTTTAACTGGTGCTTCATTTGGGACATCTTTAAATAAATCTTCAAATATTTGTGAATAATTATCAACAAATAATGGATTAAAATCCTTCTTCAGTTTTTCATCTAAATCTTCAAAATCATTTTCATTATTTTTTGGTAAATAAACTCTTGATATACCATTTCTTTGTGCTGCAATTAATTTTTCTTTTAATCCTCCAATTCTTAATACTTTACCTGTTAATGTAATTTCACCAGTCATGGCAATTGCAGGTAATGGTTTATTTAATGCTAATGAAATTAATGCAGTAGTCATAGTAATACCTGCTGATGGACCATCTTTTGGTATAGCACCTTCTGGACAATGAACATAAATATTATGATTTTTGAAAAATTCATTTTTAACATATTTTTTAGCAACTGCAAATGAAACATTTGAACTTTCTTTCATAACATCACCTAATTGACCGGTAACTTTTAATTCACCACCTTTTTCACTTGGTTCACTTGAACTTTCAACATATAATGAAGTACCTCCAATTGATGTCCATGCTAAACCCATAATAACACCTGGTGGTGTAGTTTCATATAAACGATCACTTGTATAAATTGGTGGTCCAATATAATCTTTTAATGTAGTTGGTGTAATTTCTAATGCAAAATCTTTTGGTAATTCAACAGTTTCCACAGGAATATCTTCCTTTTTAACAGCTTCTCTATCAGATTTTGGTTCACGATGATCGATATTTGGTTTAATTTCTTCTTCTGGAGTTTTATTACCACCTTCAGTTTTTTCAACAAAATCTGTAACTGCTTTAAAAGCAGCTTTTCTATAAACTTTTTCAACCAATTGTTTTAATCTTCTAACACCATTTTCCTTAGCATATTGTCTAACAATATTATCAACAGTTTCATCTGCAATTGTAACATTTGCATCACCAAGACCTGATTCATTCTTTGCTTGAGGAATTAAATAATTCTTAGCAATTTCAACTTTTTCTTCAGAAACATAACCTGGAATTTCAATAACTTCCATACGATCTAATAAAGGTCTTGGTATAGTATCTAAAGTATTTGCTGTACAAACAAATAATGCCTTGGATAAATCAATTGGGAAATCCATATATTGATCCAAAAATTCATTATTTTGTTCAGGATCTAATAATTCTAATAATGCAGCTGATGGATCACCATTAAACCCGGAATGATTACCAATCTTATCAATTTCATCAATTAAAATCATTGGATTCATTGTATGAGTTTTCTTTAAAGCTTGAATAATACGACCTGGCATTGCACCAACATAAGTTCTTCTATGACCTTTAATTTCTGAAACATCAGTTAACCCACCAACAGAAATTCTGAAAAAATTTCTATTCAATGCTCTTGCAATAGATTTACCAATTGAAGTTTTACCAACACCTGGAGGACCAACAAAACAAATAATTTTACCTTTAACAGTACCTAATAATTTGGCAATTGCAATAAATTCTAAAATACGATCTTTAACATCTTTTAAACCATAATGATCTTCTTCCAAAATTCTTTTAGCATCTGAAATATTAAAAGTTTCTGGTGTATAATTACCAAATGGAACATGAGAAATCCAATCTAAATAATTTCTTGTAACACCAAATTCTGACATATGAGGTTCTAAAGTTTGTAATTTTGTCATTTCATCATCAATAATTTTTTGAACACTTTCTGGAATTACATAATCTTTCATTCTTTCAGTTATGGTATCAATAACTTTTTGACGTCCATCATCCATACCTAATTCTTTCTTGATTTGTTTTAATTTTTCCATCAAGACATATTCTTGTTGCTTTTTAGTGATTTTTGCTTCAACATCTTTAACAATTTTATCATATAATTGAACTTGTAAAACTTCTCTTTTCAATAATGTTAAAGCTTTTTCTAATCTTTTTTCAATATTTAATTCATCCAAAACTTCTTGAATTTCATCAACTTTACCAACACATAATGAAGCTGCAAAATCTGCTAATTCACCTGCATTGTCATAAACTGAACCACCATCACGATCACTAAAGACAGTTAATTGTTCTTTAATATGATGATTATATTGGGCAGCATCTTTGAAAACTCTTAAGATTTCACTTGATAATGCATTAACAACAGCTGAATTTTTATCAAAAGGTTCAGATTTTAATAATGAAACATTAACTCTTGAAACTTCATATTCTTGTAAAAATTCAACTGGATTATATTCAGATTCTTCATCAATTTTTTTAATTAATCTTTCTTCTTTTTCACTTTGAACTTCTTGAGTTTCTAATGATTTACCTTCATCAATTAATTCTTGTTCAACTTCTTTTTCTAATTTTTCTTTATCTAAAGTTTCATCAGTTATAACTTCACCTAATGCTTGTTTTGGAATAACTTCATCAACTGAAATTCTTGAATGAGGATAAACAACAATTGTCATACCATCATTACCATAAGTATCTTTAACCATATGACATGATGTAATTTGTGCAAAAACACCCGTGGAGAAAATTTCATCTTTATTATTAATTAAATCACTATCAGCATCTTCTTTCTTAAATGCAAACACACCAATATATGGTTTATTTTCATCAACTAATCTATTAACAGCTTTGATAACTTGTGGGTCATTAATTCTAACAGCTTTATATAAACCTGGGAATAATGGACGTTGAGTAATTGGAACTGCAAGAACTTGTGGATAAATTTCTGGACTATATTCTACTTTAATTGTTTTACGTTTAGCATTACCATCATCACTTCCATCTGGATTTTCACCATCATTACCTGATGAAGAAGAACTTGAACCACCAGCAGCACTAGTTGCACTTGATTCATTAGATTTTTCTGAAATGTTATTATTATTTTCTTGTTTTGAAGTTGGAGTTTCTCTTTTCTTCTTCTTTCTTTCAGGTTTTTCATCTTTCTTAGATGGTTGTTCTTTATCAGATTTATCTTGTTCTTCATTTGTTTCATTTGATTTGGATTTGTCATCTTCTTTTAAAATCAATTGTTCATTTAATAATTCATTAATAGATTCCATATCTGGGGCTTGAGAATTCACTCTCACAGATAATGGATTAATTTTGGACATGAAATGGGAATCCTTGACGATATCATTATAAGAAACTTTTGAAGCATATCTAAGTGATAATTTAGTGGTTTTGTTAAATGTTATCCGTTGATTCACACTTAAAAGTGGTCTTAAACAGCTTTTTGAACGTAGCATGGTGTCAATGGAGGAATATTCAAAAGAGCACCAATATCAGAATTCAACTAGCAATTCAATAGCAGATGTTTTGGGTTGTGAGTTGGCCCTTGGTTACTTGGATTTGCTGGAATTGTTGGAATTGTTGATTGAAAGTGGCGACCACCTACTTCACCACCGATCTCGATTCTCCAGAAATCATCACGACTCAGGGGTGTCCGGATGTCCTCCGAAGATAACCTTAATCATTATGATTCATTTATTGACTTTATCAGTATGGGAAGGTTGGTTGAGAGAAATGTACCTAATAGCTTGTCATTAACGGTACTGGTGATGAAAGGGTTTACCCATTTCTCTTTTAAACGGTGTAAATAGCTCCATATTTGGGATAGACGTCAACAAGTACAATACCATAAGTACAAAAGATTTAAAACAAAACTTGATTATAAATATATTATAGTACACTGAATATATATATATACAAAGAAACAGACTCAAAAACCATCAAGTGTTATAGACTCTGACCATTTATACTCCTCTTAAAATTATTAACATTAGTTAAACACACACAAACTGGACATATCACATAAAAGTTGAAAACCATAATTTCAAATCAATAAATCAAAATGAAATATTATCTTTATTGAAGGGATTGAAACGAAAACAGGCTTCTATATTATTTTCAATAGTGTTCATTAGTATACTCATACAATACACCATCTTCACCTTCAGTTTTCATCCCATTTGGATTATAATGATCTGTACTAACATGCGTACTTGCTTCTTCACTATTATCATCTAACGAATTTTGTTGATGATGTTCTTCTAATGATAATAATTCATCTTCATCAACATTCCCATTCATTGAATTTAATAAATCATGATGCATATGATTTCCAATATCTAATTCATCTTCACCATGTAATGGAATATTTGTAATTTCTCTTTCTAATTGTTGTTGTTCTTCATAAGATCCTGATAATCCATTTTGTTGGTTATTTTGTTCTTTTGGCCTCTTGGTTTCACCACGTTCTTGTTTTAAAGCTTGTTGTTCTCTATATTTAGCAAGATAAATTTTTAAAATTTCTGAATAATTTTCAAATCCTAAACTTGACATTGCAAATAATATATCTTCACCATTAATAGTTTTTCTCTTTTCTGATAAACATTTATCACTTGATTCACTCGTTATAAAAGAAATGAATTCAGATACACATTCTTGCATACATTCTTTTGCATCTTTAGAAACTTTAGCAGTTGTTGGTAATGTATTCTTCATTAATCTTGCAACATTTGCAATAGGTAGCCATCTATCTTGTTCTCTTAATTCTATTTCTTTATGTTCTTTCTCAGTTAATGGTGGTAATGAGCTGTTATTCACACTACTTTCTCCACTGTTATTATTATTCTCCAGATTCATATTTAGATTATTTTATATTTGTTATATGTGTGATGATATTGTGGGTACAATTGATTTCTCCAGCTTAAAAAATGAATTAGCCAATAATAAACAAGTATTTAACCCCAGAAAAATATAATTATATGACTTGAAGTGTGTATAATCTAACAATATCAAAGTCAACAGCTTGAAATTCCCTTATAATTATTGTTATAATGAGTTACTACTCAAGTGAAGATTTATTAAATTTTACTGTACTTTGTTGATTACATTTCTTTCGCTTCGATTAGTTATTTTTTCTGGGAAAACGAGGAAAGTGAAAATAATTATGCAAATTGGCACTATATTACCGTAAATAGTAATTAGTGGCATAAATCAGAGAGCTATTACCAAGTTGGGAAAGTTTGGCGTAAACTCAGATATAATCGCGACATTTTGTAAAAATCAACGCGTTTTCAGAATTTTAATATAAAGATTTTGACATGAACAATTAATTAATAAGTAGTTAGTTGTTCAAATATAGATAGATCATTAAAATCAATATGCCACCAAAAGGATGGAGAAAAAGTGCTGATGGGTCATACCCGGTTCCTTCAAAGGAAAGAGATATGATCTCTGTGGATGATATACTGTTCCCAAAAGCCACCGTGAATAGATTAGCTAGAGCTATATTATCAGAAGGTGGAATCATTTCAAAAGATAGTTCAAGTGCTATACAGAGAAGTGCTACAGTATTTGTGAACTACCTTTTGGTTCAGTAAGTCATATGTCTTGTGGTGTTGAACTGAATTGAATACTAACATTTCAATCATAGTGCTAGAGAACATGCAAAAAAATTCGATAGAAGAACGATAGGACCTCAAGATATTACCAATGCTTTAGTTACAGCTGAATTTTCTTCATTTTTACCAACGGTTAAACAAGAATTAGATACTTTCCAAGCTAATAAAGATGCCATTAAACAAAAGAGAAAAGAAGCCAAAGAAAAAGAAGCATCCAGTACAACAGCAACAACATCTACAGGAAATGATACCATTGATGAGAATGATAAAGAAACCAATGAAACAAATGACAAAGAAGAAACAAATGAAGATGGAAAAGCCGAAGAAGACGAAGATGATAGTGTGGAACCAATAGATCAAGATGAATTCGAACAACCAGTCTCCAAGAAGATCAAGTCCTTAGCAACCACTGACAATGCTTCTAGAGAAGCCACTGTGAGTGAACCAGAGACAGAAGTCAATGAATAAGTAACGAAGATAATGTACAATAGATTAAAAAATTGGTTGTTGAAGTTTGTAGTAAATCTGGGAAACGCGGTCCTCTATATAATAAAATAAAACTGAGGAGATTTCAAGAAAACATAACAGAGGCAAAAACAATCAATTTGGAATTGGAGAAATCAACACAGCGGTTAACTTGGTTTGATTTAAAAGGAAGGATCATGTTCATTGTTTTGAGCCTCTGCCAAAGAGAAAGTTTGTTAGAGCTGCTTATTGTTTAGTATTGGTGGGTGTGTTGGGTATAAGTTAGTTGTTGTTTGTGCTTTTTTTGTGACACAAAATTGAATTTCACCACCTATTAGAGACATTTGGAGAAAAACCAGTCCAATCGGAATTGTATTTGGTATTAAAGGGTATCTAGATATCAGGTCTCAACAAAAAAATGGCTAATAATATTAATCTACTCTCAGAGTGGTTGCTACCTATTGCAAAAGTTACAAAGAAGAAATCAGATCTTGATAATTTTTATATGGTACCTAAATATCGTCGTCAATTCTGTGGTGATATTCATTTGAATAGAAATACTCAATATGATAAATATACTTGTCTGATAACTGTGAATCATACATTACATGATGAAATGGGTGAAGGTTTTGGTTCTTGGTGGTTGAAATATAAGAGTGCTATACCTCGTTTCCCTTATCCTGCTGATTACAATTCAATTCGTGAAAGACCTCCATCTGCTCAATTAGTTCAGCAAAGACCTGGTGGTAATGCTCATCTTGCAAATTTTGATATCGATGAAAATGGTTTATTACCAAATGGTCTGATTCCAATGGTTAGAAGGAGAGCTATTCATCCTGGGGAGGATCTTCCTTCAGATGATGATGATCCAAATGCTTACAATTTATACCGTGATGATCCACCAGAAAATTATTTCAATGGTGGAAATAGAAATAGAAATAGAAATGGTGATGGTAATGCTAATGTAAATAGAAATGGAAATGGACAGATGAATGGCAATGCTAACGGTAACATAAATGGACACACGAATGGCAACGTGAATGGTGTTGTGAATGAAAATGGAGGTGGGCATGATCATCAAATCCCTCAATATCCAGAACAAGAGCTAGAACAGGAGCAAGAACAACAATTAGGACCACCCATAGAAGCTGCTATACAAAATTTAGAATTAGATAATCTTGGTGATGAATTTGATGATTTACATGAACTTGAACATATTCCAGATGATATAAGTGCTGGTGAAGAAATGAGTGCTTCACTTCCACCTCTCGATCCCGATCTAGTTATCCCAACATATAAAAGTGAACATCCTGATGATGAATATTTTTACGCAGAACAAGTATTGAAAGAATTTGGGAATTTGTTTTTAGCTCAACCAGGACTTGATGATTTTTTTAAGCATTATCATGTTATTATTATTCATTTAGATGCTGATATGTTGCATAGTGAAGCTTTGAAATTACTTTTGGGTTATATCTCAGCCACGTATCCATCAAAATTAGTTCGATTATCATTAAATTTCCCTATACTTGGTATGTTTTTCCCACAATATTTCACGGAACTTCTTGAAGGTGGTATCATAATGGGATTTGATTTCCCAGGTGTTACTTTTATGGATGATCAACTTGATTTAACAACTGTTGGTAATAAAAGTGTCAATGGTGAAATATCTTATTGCTTTCCTGATCTTACAGAAGTTTTTCAAACTGTTTCTAGGATTGACCTTTCAAATACAGGGACAAATCGTGTTAAAACTCCTGAATTGACAAATTTGACACTTAATATTACAAATAGTTGTAAAAATTGGCAATTAATTAATTTGTTGAGATTATTTAGTGCACCAAAACTTGAATATCTTCATATTTATTCAACAAATAAAGATTATCAATTTGAATCTGCTAAATATGAAATTGATATAGTGAAAGTACTCAAATTATTCCCAGATTTGAAATCTTTAAAAATTCAATCACTTTTAGTTAATATATTATTTGAAAAAGAAGAAAATTTTAAATCACATTTGAAACTTTTAACAATAACTGATTATGCAGCAGATTTAGATTTTGAAGATTGGGATTTAAAATATTTGAACCTTTTACATTTGGAAAGAATTAATTCCAAATTGACAAATTTAGGACATTTTCTTTCACGTCATCAAAATTTAGAAGATATTCGTATTATGGAATGTGGATTCATACCACTGTTACAAGATATATCTATGAGAAGATTGAAAAGATTTATTTTGAAATATTATGGAACTGAATCACCAATTTTCTTAATGTCAAACTTAAAATGTCCAAGTTTAAAACATTTAGAACTTACAATATTAAGAACAAATTTATCATTAAGTAAATTATATGCACCAAATTTAATAAAATTAACATATAATTGTCAACATCCTACTAAAGTTATTGATGGAAAAGTACGTGAACTGGTTACTATTGCAGATGAAATACATTGTTCTAAATTGAGATGGTTATGTTATACATTAGGTACAAGACAAGAATATGAAGATTTAATGGCAAGTTCAATTACAAAACATTTAACGGATTTTTTCCCCAGATATTATGGAGATGAATATATTGAACCAGATGAAGTGAGAAGATGGAGAATGATGCTCGAGGAGAAAGTTTACCCAAGTCAATATCATCATTTTAACATGTTTCAATTGAATAATAGGTATTAAGATGTATATATGACTTTATATATTATATAGAAATTACATGATATATCTTTCACTTTTAAAGTTTAATGTGTATTAAGATTAATTGATATGATCAAACGAATGTAATTAACGACATAATATAAATTAATATTTAACCTATAATAATCTTTGCCAATATTAATAATAAGAATATAGATATTATAACTAAAACAGCCCAAAATTTAACATTATTCCACCATAATTTTCTTTTAACTCTTGTTGTATTTGTTCTAAAATTACTAGATAGCGTATTTATTCTATCAGTTTTATTAACCAATAAATTAATTCTTTCATTTCTTTCTAAAACTTGTTCAATATTATCATTTAAAACATATTTAATTTGATTTAAATCATTCTTGGTAATTTCAATTAAATTTCTTTGAAATTCAGATTCTTGAAATTTAATAATTTGATTAAACCTAATTTTAAATTCAACATTTGAATTTGAAGTTTCTCTATATTCTCTAAAATCTTTAATTATTGTATCTAATGTTAACAGAGGGAAAGTTCTTGGTATATCTGTTGAACAAATTGTTAAAACTGTGACTAAATCATTACTAGCAAGTATGAATTTAAGGAAATATAAAGTTAAATTAACATTTGGGAAATTTAAAGGTATTGAACCAACTAAAGAATCTGATGAATTTATAATACTAATTTGTTGAGATATTGATTCATTTAAATTGATTAATTTATGTTTTGATATAATGATTTGATTTTCTAATGTGTATAACGTTGTAGAGTTTAATGTTAATGTTGTATGGATCACTTTATGATATCTTGTTAGTATATTCATAGTTCTTGTTTTGATAATGTGTCAAAATAAAACATCATCACATAACCACAAAGATTCAAGGAGGAACAGTACTCACATGAAGTATTGATATCGTTTTCTTTTGACATTGTGTTGTATGATATGAAGTGATTGTGATATAAATAAAGCAGTATATGGTTCAAATAAGCAACTTGTTTTAATGATTGTGTGGTTTGGTTTAATTTTATTGTTTATGTTAGAATTCTCTAAAATGGTTTTCTCTTTTTGGGAAACATACATCCCATCTGCCAGCATTACGTGCCGATAAGTAGTTCATATTTAAGCCATATAAAGTTAATGAGCTAATACTCAGCTCTTAACGGATATAACAAGACGAGTTTGGTGAACTTGGTTTGGAATTAACGGGCCAGTTTTGGTGATGTTAGGCAGGTATAAATAGAGCCATGGATCCTGTTGTGATGGTGTGTTTGCGGATGTATCCAAAGGTTAGCATTCCGTTAAGATGACAAAGTTTTTCATTACTGGTGGTTCCGGATTCATAGGTTCAGAAGTTGTTGATGAGTTATTAAGCCATGGTCATGAAGTCCTTGCTCTTGCAAGATCTGATAATTCAGCTAAGAAATTGATTGAGAAAGGTGTACAAGTGTTGAGAGGTAGTATTGAAGACTTGGATGTTTTAAAAAAAGGTGCCAATGAAACTGATGGTACAATTCATTTAGCTTATGATCATAATTTATCCAATTTTGCTAAATCTGGTCATTTAATTGATTATGAAGCTACAAAAACCATAGTGGATACTTTAGAGGGAACTAATAAAGTATTTATTTATACTTCAGGTCTTGGTGGATTACCAACACCAATTGGTATTCAATCTAATGAAACAGATAGACCAAATCTTGAAAAGGTTCCAAAAGAAATTAAACAAAGAATGGAGACTGAACATTTTGTTCTTGACTCTTATACTAAAAACATAAGATCTATTGTGATTAGATTATCTCCAATTGTTCATGGTACAAATGATCATGGATTCACTTCATATTTATCACAAGGTGCTAAGAAAAATGGTGTTGCTTTATATGCTAATGAAGGTAAATCAACATGGCCATCTATTCATAAAAAAGATGCTGCTGTCTTATATAGATTAGCTGCTGAAAAAGGCCAACCTGGTAAGGCATATCATGGAGCATCTGAATCAGGGATTGAAACAAAATTAATTGCAGAAACTATTGCTAAGAAAATTGGAGTTGAAACTAAATCAACTAATATTAATGAATTGAGTGATAAACTTGGTTTTATTGGAGGGTTCTTTGCTGTTAATATTAATTCATCATCAGAGCTTACTAGAAAAGAGTTAGGATGGGAACCAAAAGAATTGGGATTGATTGAAGATATAGAAAAGAATTACACTTTATAGGTAACTAGTAATATGTTATAACTCTACTTTTAATATACAATTACATGTTTAATTAAAGTACCGTAATTACCCATTTCTGATATACATATATTATATAGTATAATTTATATTAATATTAAACCTCATAATTATAAAATCCTCATTAGTTGTTATATTTTCATTAAATTTAGTATTATCCCACTTAGTTATCATTTTGTGAAGCTGATAAGATTCTTAAAATGTTTAAAAACAAATTAATAATATCCAAATAAAGACTAATAGCAGCTGGAACTTCTTCTTCAACATTATATTTTCTTAAAATTAATTGAGTATCAACCAAGATATACCCACTGAAAACAATAGCACCAATAGAACTATAAACTAATTCTGCAGTACTTGATGGTTGAAAGAAAAACCAAATGAAACTAATACCAATCATACAAAATAATACGGAATTTAAGACACCAGCCCATGAAGTAAAATCATATTTTGATTGGAAGGCAAATAATGTTAAACCAATGAAAACAACTAAAGTTATAGTTAATGCTTCCAAAACAATTTGTGTATCATAAAGACTAGTAGCAACACCAATGATATAACCTTCAAACACAGTAAACCCTGTTAATAATATTAAATTAACTGGATAATTTTTACTTTGAACATAAGCAGCAATTAAAAATCCAATAGAACCAGCAATAGAAACAAAGAATAACCAAATATTTGTCAAGGCAAAATTTTGAACACTTTGATTTAATGAAATGAAAGCACCAATAGCACCTGTTATTAATAATTGTAAAAATAATAATGTATAAACTTTCTTGATAAATTGTTGTCTTATAGATAATTCACAACCAGAAACATTAGTATCATATTTGAAATCATCTGGGATGTTATCAATCCCAGTTTCCCCATATTGTGACTGTTCTGGGTTATCTGAGTATTGTGGAGGGTTATTTATTGGAGCGTAACTCATTATAGCTGTGTTTGTATTGTTTGATTAATTATAGATCTCTTTGACATAAAAAGAGAAGACGTTTTACTTTTTGTAAATTTATTATAGAATAAAGGAGAAGTTTTAAAGTGGTCGCGGGTGGTTAAGAGCACATTTATTATGTCAGCGATTACAAAGCACAATAGATAAGAAATCAATCTTCTTATTACAAACAAAATTATACATCATGGCAATATCCAGATCTATAGAATGATCTTGGATTGATTGCAAAGAGCTCATAGATGAATAGGATCAAAAGGAACAAAGTATCTATCCATAACAATGTGATTATCTTCCAATGTGTAAATGCTAATCCCAAGATAATACCTCCAATTGGTATTCTTAATCCAATTCTACCTAATCTTGGAATTAAATGATCCTTAGGGTTATCTTTTGGTTTATCTAATAATGGGTGGATAGTTAAAGCACACATTGCAATAAACATCGAAGCACTATAGAAATAAACAATACCTTTCTCTTCAGGATATTCTTCATGTTCTTTAACAAGATCTGCTCCTGCATCACCAACAAGTAATAATGAAGCAATCAAGGGGAAATGAATATATATAAACCCTATGGCAGTGAATGCACTTCTTCTCATAGCATGAACAGCTTTTATTGATCCATCTTTATGTGAATAAAGTTCTAAAATTACAAAAGCTTGTACCAATAGGGCAATACCTTTAGCGACTTTAATATTCCAACCTTCTTTTAAAGGATTTCCATTAACAATACCAGTCATGAATTCACCTATTGCAATAATGAAGAATGCACTTAATCTTTCATCTTCATGTTCAATATTTAATGCAGTTGAATAAGTTAGTCCTAATTTTTTTTTGGTCCATGGATGTGCTGATAAGATATAACATAATTGTTCCACAATGAACCAAATTGCAGAGAAAACAATCAATCCAGCAGTTGAATTATGTTGAATTAATAAAGTGAAATACCAACATGAACTAGTTATAAATAAACTTGTACCATAAATTCTCATTTGTATTCTATGTTCATGAATATATAAAGAATAAAAAACCAACATTAATCCAAATGAAAATCTTGCAAGGAAATATGTTGTAACTGTGGTTATTAATGCAGTTCTGGATTCAAATATGAATTCAACATTATTATCATAAATTAATAATAAAGCCAAGTTCCATAATATATAACATTTTTGTAATAAATCATCATTAAAATAATAATTCATGAAATCTTTAATATCAGCCCAAATTTGCCATGCAGGTATGAAGAAAAACAAATATTTAACAAATGATAACCATGTTGGTTCTTTTAGAGCATTTGATGATAAATTTGTTGCAATCCCCACATAAATTAAATCAAAAAACAATTCTAATTTACCAGAAGTTCTTTCATGTCTTGTTCTAAATAAGGTACCATTATGGAAATAGTTTAATGCATATGGTTTGGTAAACCATCTTGATAATGGTGATGGTTCAATATATGATACTTTTATATCACCATATTTCTTGATGAACTCTTCAACATCAGGTTCAGGTTCTTGTTCTTCTTCATTATAATTATGTGATGAAGATCCTTGCTCTTCTTCATCTCTTGGTGATGAAATTGAATGTCTTTCTTGATCAATGTTTATTGAAGAACTACCATAATCAGCTTTATTACTCATGATTGATAGCAATTTGTTACTAGTTCATAATGAATAAAAGTAAATGGTAAAAGAATAACTAGAAAGTCCAATTCAAATTTTCATTTTCATGAAGCTCTGCGTAATTTGATTATACATAATTACTAAATTTCAGTAAACGGTTCTGAAACTCTATAGGACTGATTATCCAACTACACACTAAACATATATCCCCATCCAATCAAATCCATAAAGGGTTCAACGGATTCAACAATTCTCATTTCAGTAAGTACTAACTTTACAATCACCGTTTTGTGTCAAGATCTTTTGTCTAAGCTATGCGTCTTTCTTGGTCAAAGTTGTTAAAATCACATCAAATTGACCAATAAGAATCCATACGGGTTTAGCGCAATCGAGGATTTTGTTTTAGGAAAAGGCTTTAGCCATAATGTGCATGAACCTTTTCAAAATTTACTAGGGTGTGATTGCTAACAAAGCTATTGTGCACAAATTCTAATTTAACTATGGGAATATGGGATCATGCAAATTTCATTAATATAGTTAATCTTTAAAGTTATAACTTAAGTTTCAATGGGTATATAAAGAGGGATTGAATCCTCTCTAGAAGTCCTGAGATCATGGTTTAGAACTTCATTATACAAATCAATTGAATATAACTGGTTATAATTATTCAATTTATTAAAGTATTAACACAATGGCTCCATTAGATATCTCATTAAAAGGTCAAACTGCTATCATCACTGGTGGTAGTAAGAATTTAGGTGCAGAAACTGTTCGTGAATTGGCAAAATTTGGTGCTAATTTAGTTATCCATTATCATTCTTCAAGTGAAAAATCTAATGCAGAATCATTAGTTCAAGAAGTTACCAAAGAACACGGTATTGAAGCTTTTGCAATTCAAGCTGATTTATCTGTTGAAAAAGATGCTGAACATTTATTTTCAGAAACTAAATCAAAATTTGGTGGTGTTGATATTGCAATTAATAATGCAGGTAAAGTCTTGAAAAAACCAATTGGTGATATCTCAGAACAAGAATATGATCAAATGTTTGATATTAATTCCAAAACTTCATTTTTATTTTTGAAACAGGCTTATAAATATGTTAATGAAAAGGGTAGAATTATCTTTTTAGTTACAAGTTTATTAGCAGCTTATACACCATTCTATGGGTTATATCAAGGTGCAAAAGCTCCAGTTGAATACTTTGTTAAAGCTGCTTCCAAAGAATTACATGATAAACAAATTAGTGTTAATGCAGTCGCACCAGGTCCTATGGATACACCATTCTTATATGGACAAGAAACTGATGAATCTGTTGCTTTTTTCAAAACTCAAGGATTGGGTAATAGATTAACTAAAGTTGAAGATATTGTTCCAATTGTTAGATTTTTAGCTACTGAAGGTACTTGGCTGACTGGTCAAACTTTGTATGCTTCAGGTGGTTTCACTGCTCATTAGTTTAAAGACTGAAGACTATGTAGCTTTTGGTAAATGTTTATTTGAAATATATGTATGAATGTGGTTTTTTATCTTGCTTTGCATAGATCTAGTTCTATTATATCAATATGTAGATCCAGCTGATTTTGAAGATTTTCACAAGGTTCCTTTGGTTCCTTACATTTGAATCGTCAGATTTAACTAGTAATTACTTTTTTATTACTTAGTGATTCACTATTTAAATATGCGTGTAAAATCTGATCTTTGTTGCACTTTGAACAATTGTTGCTTTTTCATACACGCGACAAGTGAGAATCAAGCTACCTACAATATGTTGTTTATTCAAGTTGTTTGACGATTATAGGGGTAATACACTAGGATATCATGATGATGGAGTGGTTCACTAAGAGAGAGCTGAATATTCTGTACAAAATGGTGTTGAGTTTGAACTGATATCACCAATATTGACTGAACTGGTACCTTCCATAGTGAAGTTGAATTGATTGTTATGATGAATTTTGGTCTGCATATAGTGAAAAAAAAGATGAAAAATGTTCATTGAAGGCTAAATATTCCTAAAAGATCTGTTAGTTTGCGTTTATTGATAACTTATGTTCCTGTATCTTCATTGTGGGATGTCCGTGGTATTACGCTCATGTTGCATGGTTGATTGACCAAATTGTTTAGAGGTGATGTGCTTTTAAAGTATATAAAAGCTTATATGCCCTCCATATGCTTCAAAAATCATTGTTAGAGATAGATAAAATATTATACTTCAATAGATAAAAGTTTTTGTTATACGATTTATGAGACGTTCAGAAGAAGAAAGAATAGAATCAAATTCAACTTTATCAGATACAAAATCTGATAAACAAAGTGTTGTTCCAAAAGATAAATTAGATCCATCAACTCAAGTTTTCGATAAAAAATATGGTGATCAAGATGTTCATTATGTTGATCCACCAGTTAAAACATCAGCATGGTTCACTAAACCATATGCATTGAATTATAAGATTAATGGTGAAATTTATCGTACAAAAGGTCCTCAAAGAAGTGCCGGGAAATTAGAATTATTCTTGGATTTAGTTTATGTTGGTATTGGTTCAACATTAGCTCAAAGTGCTTTAAAAGAACCAAATGGATTCTCATTTATGAAGTATGTTATATTATTCATCCCTGCTATCACTGTCTGGTCAGATTTAAAAGATTTTATGAATTATTATTATAATGATGATTTAGTTCAAAAAATTTATGTTTGTTGGATTGAATTATTATTAATTGTTTATGATAATAACTGTGAAAAAGTTGAATTGAATAGAACTGCTTTAATAACGACGGTGATTTCCTATTTTTTAGCAAGAATTACATTAGCTTTAATGTTATGGTTTTATTCTATATGGGTTAAACAACATAGAGTTCAAATGAGAATTTATGCAACAGGATTAATCATAACAAGTTCATGTTGGTTTTTCATATTATTAATTAAATCCATTAAAGGTCAATGTATCTTTTGCTTATTCATGTTTTTAATTGAACATACAACTTTTTTGATAAATATAAATCCATGGATAAATGCTCAATTAGGTTTAAAATATACTTCAGCATTAAATATTGAACATGAAGATGCAAGATTTCAAGCATTTTATTCTATATGTATTGGACAATTTGTTACAACAACAGTTATGCAAACACCATTATCCATAGGTTGGAATCTAAAATTACATAAAGGATTTTCATTATTATTAATTGCTTTTGTATTTTATGGGGTTTATACACATCGTGATGGTTGTTTAAAAGCTGTTCATGCCTTAAAGAGAAATGCATTGTGTGGGTATATGTATCTTTATTTCCATATAATTTTGATTGCAAGTATGTTATTAGCTGGTAATGCAGGTGCTACATTAGCAACTTATGAATCAATTTATATTTCTTCACCGCAGGAAAAGGCAACTCTATTATTTTATCATGGTGGTATTTTATGTATTCTGGGTTGTTTAACTATTTTACCATTATTAGATAAGAATCTTGATGATCGCAAAGAACATAAAATTCCAAGATTTGGTAGAGTTGGATTAAGAATTCCAATTGGGTTACTAATATTAGGTTTATCATGGGCAGATAAATCTTTATCAATTCTACAAATGATGTGGATGGATTGTGCATTCTTGATTATACTATTCATTTATGAATTCACAGTTATGAATCCATTGAATTTTAAGATACCTGTTGATGGGAAATTTGTTAGTGTTCAACAGACATGAGTTGATCATAGGTGTTAATTTTTGATGAAAAACTTGACAAACTAGCGCTGGTTTTCAAGTATTTTGTTTTATTATATGTTATGTTTACATTATTTTGTTACGGTGTTTTTAAAAAGTCATATTGTTTGGTTTTTTTATATTGGAAACTTGGATTATCGGTGGATCCAATTGTATCCTTTATGTGTTAAATTATAGATAGGGTTATACACTTTAAGTATTTATAAGTCACTATATAAGTGATTCTGGATTAATTAATATTCCATTATTATATATATATTATTATTATACATTTAATCATACATTAGAAATAGAACCCTGTAATATTACGTCGCGCGTTGATCTAAAATCTATAACTATAATTACTACAAGTATATATATATTAGGAGTAAAAAATATTCTGTATTGATATAAAAACTGAACGTCACGTACGGTTTAAATATGAACAATTCAATTGTCAATCAATAACATGTCAGTATATTAACCATATCAACAGATATATTGTAAACAACACTTCTTGTTTAGTAATCTGATGATATATTTGCATATAACTTTATAATTAAAAAAATCTTACCTGCAATCAATTATATGGAAGCAATATGCCGAAACTGATCCCTTGGTAACTGCGAAACAGAAGCATTCATTAAAGGTTCACAAGTTCATCAATGGGAGCCGATAGATCATTATGATTGATGCTCTGTTGCAAATCATCTGGGTCCCTAATTGAAAATAAAATACTCTGCGTTGACCTCTAAGATCTCGACCAATTTGTTTAACTTGAAGAGCATTTTACCAGCATCAAACAGGAGTGGATTTAAAAAAATTCGATTATAATTCCATGTCTCCACCCGCGAATTCAAGAGCAAATACAATAAATTTCTCCAATTATATAGTAATTCCAAAATAAAATGATTCAAAGTGTGTTCAAGTAACTATAAGTGATTATTAAAATTCCTTTGTATAATATATGAAGAAAGGAAGGGCTCATACTCATAAACTACGCTTCTATCTTGACTAAAAAATGATTTGTATTGATATGTAAATTTAAAGTCACGTATGGTTTAAACATGAACATTCTAATCCTCAATCAATAACCTATCAGTATATATGATATCATCAACAGATATGTAAACGTCCAATATTCTTGTTCCACAATCTGATGATTTGTGTATGATTTTATTTAACTTACCATAATAGTCTAATAGTACGTACGTACGTAAGTACTACAAACTTTAATATTTAGATAACTTTTTCAACAAAGACATAGATATGTTAACAGAACCAAAAATTATAGCAAGTAGCCTCATAAAAAGCAAATTTCGTGTAATATTTATTAAAAATGATTGTTTCTTTACGTCGTTGATTAAAATTGTCCATGATAATTTTTATGATTCCAAAATTTCTCACCCGCGAATTATTCATAATAACAAAACTCTCAATATGGCCTAATTCCAAAATACTTCAAAAGTTATATACCTTTTATCTATCTTTAAGTTATTGTAAAGTGTTTATTAGTATTTTATATTAAAATAATAGGAAAACTACGCTTCTATTATGATTGAAAAACATTTTGTATTGATATATAAATTCAAAGTCATGTATGGTTTAAACATGAACACTTTAAGATCCTTAATCAATAAAACCTGTAGACGTTTATACATGAATTCAACCCGAGGTTGTAATGATCAATAATTCTTGTTCAACGATCTAAAGTGAAACAATTACATTAACGGAATAATGTACAGCACCAAATTGAAATCTTTTATATTCACAAACAACGAACCAAAAAGTTAGAACTTAGTATGAAAAAACATAAAATCAATATTCATTCAGATATGATTCTGAACGGTTAATCAAGGTGATGACCTTGTATTTCAAGATAGATTCAGGAAACTAACTTTCGATACTGACACATCAACTAACAAAGAAAACGTTGATAGCTTGTTTATAAGTTCATTAAATTGTTGAACGTAGAATGAAATTTTCATTTTTATTTTTATATTCACATTTCCTCACCCGCGAATTATTCAATATTAATATCAAAATTATCCTTATTTTCAAGTCATGAAGAAGGAAAGGGTGTATGTAGTTGATGCAAGTTCTATATAAATTACGCTTCTACGCACTTCTATTGTATTGAGTTTAAAATGATTTGTATTGATATATAATCTAAAACGTCACGTATGGTTTAAACATGAACGATTTAATCCTTAATCAATACACCTGTTAGTATATGAATCTCAATTCAGATCGTGAATGTTTTATAGTTCAATAATTCAAATGATCATTTAATTATCAAAGATACATATATAATTATACCAAATGTGTCATTAGAATTCCCTAGAGGTATGAACATCAACTTTGCAGGTCAACATTCTACCTTGAGTTTGATAACTAAAATATTGACCTAAATCAAGTAAATGACCTATTTCTTTTAAATAATTCATTATAAGTAGAAATCTGATTTGGATGATAACAATTGTATAAATTAGTCAAAAATACAGATACAACGATACAACTGATAGTTCGTGTTACGTTCATTAAAGTGTTGAACGTTGAATGAAATTTTAATTTTTACCATTTTCACACCCGCGAATTTCTAGCAAACAATAATAAATTTCTTTATACGTAATAAATTATACCCATTATATTGCTACTATAAAAAAAATTTATAAAACAATCGATTGAAAGTTGATTCAAAAATGATAGTCACATAGTTTATTCTCCAAGAGCTCCAAATGTCAAATCAACAATACTTAGAATCAACAGCCCAAGATTCCAAAGCATCAAATGAAGTCAATCCAGACTTGGAAACATTCTATCAAAAATATGGAGATTTGGAGATTAAATACATTGAACCACCTCAACATTCACCATGGTTTACAAAACCATATGCTCTTAATTATTTCCATAATGATACTTTATATCGTACAAAGAATGAACGAACTTCAAGTAAATTAGAATTATTTTTAGACTTAGTTATTACGGGGATTTTATCAAATTTAACAAGTAATTTTATATCAAAAGGTGGGTCAGGATATGAATTAATTAAATTTCTAGGGTTATTTATAACTGTTTTCGTTATATGGAGTGATTTAAAAGATTTTATGAATTATTATTTTAATGATGATTTATTACAACGTGGGTTTGTTATTTGGTTATTAGTGTTATTGATTACATTTGATAATAATTGTGAATTTATTGATTTAGGTGATGATGATGAAAATACTTTATGGATTTGTGTTGGATGTTATTCAATGGCTAGGTTAAGTCTAAGTGCTATGTTATTATTTTATTCTTTTTTTATTCATGAACATAAAATTCAAATGAGATTATATGGTATATCATTAATTATAACAAGTTTATCATGGTTTTGGATTTTCCAAATCCATAATGATTCTTATAAATGGATCTTTGCCGGGTTTATGCTTGTAATAGAACAAGTTATATTTTGTTTTAGTGTCCTACCATGGACCAAAAGAAAATTAGGACTTGAATATTCCACAGCGTTAAATATTGAACATGAAGATGAAAGATTTAGTGGATTTGTTATTATTGGAATTGGTGAATTATTATATAATATTGTTTCAGGTAGTCCATTACAAAAAGGTTTAAATGAAAGATTAACAAAGGGGTTAAGTATTTTAATTATGGGATATTTAATTATGGGGATTTATAATCATAAAGATGGTTGTTTAAGAGCTACACATGCCTTGAGAAGAAGTGCTATAACTGCAATTCTTTATATTTATTTACATGCCCCTCTTGTGGCTTCATTATTAATTATTGGAGATTCAGGAATTGAATTAATTCAATATCATAAAGTTATAACAGAGGAAAATTTTAATATTTTAAAATGTTTCCAGGTTGGTTTAGGTATGGTTTTAATTTTATTAACTGGGTTAGCAAGTTTAGATAAAAGTAGAGATGGTGAAGATTCTCAAGAATTTTCCAAGTTTGGTAGGTTATCAATGAGAATCCCTGTTGCAATTGTTATAATTGGGTTAACATGGAGTTTTAAAATGTTTTCAATTGGAACAATAATATGGATTGATACAGGATTATTATTTATTTGTTATTTTTATGAATTTATTGTTATGAATCCATTAAATTTTAATATTAGGATTAATTTAGGATTGACAAATGTTCAAGATGTCTAGTGGTCTTGGTTTCAAATGTATATATGCATTTATATGGCTGCTTTCTTAGCCCTCGTGTGCATTAAAATTAATGAATATTGAATTCAATTATGATACAAGATACAAGGATATATCTTTATTATACAAATGAATATAATCAACTATAAATAATATGTATAGACATAACCATGATCCGTATCATGGAGTATAAATTCTATTGTTCATTGTTTAAAACTAGTAGCTTCTGTACCATCGCCTAAGTTTCCTCAAAAGGTATACTTTGTAGTACTTTCCGATTAAAGGACCGTTCAACGGCATCACCAATAATCACATAAGCACAGAACATAAGCACATGAAGTAAAGGTATAAACCCACCAATAACAAGTAGGTGAAAACAATAAACGACTACGTACTCTAATACCAGATCTTCATGACCGTTGTATTATTGACTCTTGTGTACTTTATAATTGGAGTAATTATGCGTGTTGCAATTTACTAGCCTATAGAATATGGTATAGAATGACTAATAGTATTTATATGAGTCAGATTCGCTTATATAATTGAAGCCTTATGAAACGTTTCAATTTTCAAGTACATTTCAAATACATTTCTAGACATGACATATAAAAAAGGAAGAATAGGAGTAAATGAATCTAGACTAGTATAAATAGAATATAAATAGAATATAAATAGAATATAAATAGAATATAAATAGAATATAAATAGAATATGAATAGATTTATTCAACAGCAATATAATACTAAACTTAATCTCTGCCTAGGAATCTGCCTATCTCTGTTTACTTATTATTTGCCACTGAATCTCTGCCTAGTTCTGGAATCACACTCTGCCTAGCTCAGATCTCTCCGATCCCTTCGGTTCCCTCGGTTTGCCTTCGGTGCCTTCTCCGCGACTGTGGTTCCTTCCAAGTGTCCTTCCAAGTGTCCTTCCCAGCGGCGAATAAAACATTTTTTCCTGTCTGGATTTCTTTCCCAATTCAGGTATTTCCCATGGTTTTCATTATTTTTACTTAAAGGAGTTTAAACAGTAACGGTTAGATAACAAGGATAACAAGCAAGCAATTGATAGATAGGTCATGGATAGGTGAACTATATATGTGTATAATATTGTTTACTTCTCTGTGTATTTCTCCTTCTAGCTCTGTCTATTCCCTGTCTACTAGTCTACTTCTCTTTGTGTCCTTCTGTTCCCTTCCTGTCCTTCTGTTCACCGTCTGTAGCGTGACCTGGACTTACATTAGATCCACAGATTTCAGATTTCATTTGCATTTCAGAAAAAACTAATTTCCAACGGTCACTTGATACTTATATTTAAAATTATCCACATAAAAAGAACAGCAGAATAGAACAAAACAACAAAACAAAACAACAAGGTTTATATGAATTACAAGAATCAATATGATACAGAATTACACCTATGATTACCCAAATCCAATACCCATTCCTCAATATAATAAATCTATACAAAACAACAATTCATCATATCCTAAAACTCCATCATTAAAATCAATAATTGATCAAAAAAATCGTTCAAATGGTTCAATAAAATCAAATGATAGTACAAATTCTGTTCCATCATTAATTTCAACTTGTTCAAGTTTTGAATCTTGTGATGATTCTCATCCTTTAGATTTATATCTTAATCCATTACAAGAAAATACTTGGGATGATATTGATGAATTTTTTTTTTGTAAATGATGATACAAGTTCAACAAGTTCAACAAGTTCAATAGAATCTATAAAACCTGAATCAACAACTACAAAAAAACCAATAATAACCAAGAAATCAAGTTTTGTATCAAATCTAAGTTCATCTATAAAGAATTTTACTCAATCAACTATATCAAATAATAACAAAATTTTATTTGATATTCAACCAAGATTAACTGATGATAAATTACCAAAAACAATAACAACACCATCATCAACCCAAAACATTACAGAACTAAAAACTTTTAAAATGTCATCAGAATCAGATTCTTTTAAATCATCATCAATAATAAAACCAAGAGAATCAAGAATAAACCCTGAATTCCTTAGATTATATTCATATGAATCATCATCAAGACAAAAAGGTTTATTAAAAGAAATTACACCACAAGATGAAGAAAATTTCATTTATTATCAAAATAAATTCTTACAACAACCCAAAACCTCACCTCTTAATGAAAAGGAATTTTCAATGATGATTAGAAATAAATTATGGAAATGTGTTATATTACCACCAAGAGATGATTATATCCCACAAAATCCAAATTATATCAAGACTGATAATAACCAAAAAGAAGGTAAATCACTGATTAATACCACAACAGATCAAAGAAAACCTTGGGTTAATTTAGATGATGAAAAAATTCAACAAAAAGTTATAAAACCTTATGGAATTATGGGAGATGTTCAATTTACTGTCAAAGGTTGGTGTAATGAAAGATGGTTACCATCGGAATAATAATAAGAACAAAAACACAAAAAACTATAGCTAATACAACTATAAAACTATACAATTTCGAGTACTTTAAAGTACTTTCTTTAATGATTAATTTATTTATTTATTTTTATAACAAAATTTTTGCTTTACTGGCTTTGCTTTTTACTTTTTTTAATGATTTTATGAAGGATTATAGGAGTTTATATATTTAATTTTAATGGGATAATTTATACAATATAATAATTTGTAATTTTTGTAGCTTTTGTATGATTTTTTGATACGTTTGAAGACTTGAAGAACTGTGGTTATATGGATTACTAATCTGGTTAAGTAATCAACCCGGTTTAAAGAAATTAATTATACCTAGTACAATAAAGTAAAATTGAATCAAGTAAAGATCTGAGATTGATATATATTATAATATATTCATACTACGTTGATAATCAAATTAAGATCAATATGGACATCTCTACAGAACAACGTGCTTTGGAAGTTTATGAAAAAGGTGTGGCAAAAGAATCTATTGGAAGTTTAGGTGATGCTATACGATATTATTCTTCAGCTTTAAAAGTGAGTTAATAACTATGTGTTACTAGAAGGTAAATACTAATAGCTTTCAAGATTCATAAAGATGTAGAGAAATTATATAGACAAAAATTACATGATGAATATCATCAAGACATCCAACAAAGAATATCAACTACTCCAAATCAATTATTAGATAACATAAAAGGACTATCAATAAATGATCAAGAAGATGAAGAACAATTAGACCCATGTTGGATTTTAAATATCCTTACAGATGATATATTAATTGAAATCATAACTTACTTGATCAGGAAAGATCCATCATCACATGTTAAATTATCATATACTTGTAAAAGGTTAAACTCCTTATGTTTTAGTTCAATATCATACAAAACATTATCAAAATTAATTTATCCATATCAACAATATTCATCAACTTCTCAACAATTAAATAACATTACAACAGATCAAGAATTAATGGTACAAAATTGGGATTTTAATTGGGAATTAATGCTTATGGATCGTCCTTTTATTAAATATCATGGTACTTATATATCAAAAGTTAGTTATATTTCTCAAGGTGCAGCAGATTATAGTTTTTATGCACCAGTTAAACTGGTTACTTATTTTAGATATTTAAGATTCCATCCTGATGGTACTGTCCTAAAGATGACAACAACTGATGAACCAACTATAATAATCCCCGTGTTTAATAAATTAAACGTGGGGAAATGGTTAAGTGCTTCAATTGCAAGGTTTTCATTGGAGATGGATGGTAGAGTTTTATTAGAGAGTGTTAATGAATCTTATAAATTTATTGAAGAATTACAAATTTCAAATTTGGGGGATAGGAAATTTCATAGATTAAATTGGATTAATTCATTTACTGAAAAAAAGAGTGATGGTGAAAGAGGGTATTTTAGTTTGAAAAAGGAGAAACCTTTCAATTTTTCAAATGTTAAGTCTTATACTGTGGAGTATTGATTAAAGCAAATAAAATTATAGCATATATATAAAGTAATATATAAATTCATGGGGGTATTGTAGGGATAAAAACATCAGAATTAAACTCCAATAAAAATCAAACCAAAGTCATCAAAAAATCATAAAAAAGCAACAAAAAACATAACAAAAACCTATACTCAACATATATAAATCACAATCATTAAAATAACAAAATCCTCCCTTTTACAAAAAACTTCTAAACTTAAACACGAATATATGGATTCTCATGATCAATCATATATTCTCCCTTTTGGTATTCCCTATCTTTTAAAAATTTAGTCTCAATACTTTTATTAAAATTTTTTAATTTGAAAAAATCACTTACTATTGAATTCCCTTGAGAGAATTGTTCATCATTATCTTGAGATGTTCCTGATGTTCCTGATTCTTGTGATTGGAAATTTAAATTAATTGGATATCCATTTAGGAATTGTTCTGGATGTGTAGTAGAAGTTGAATTCTCTGAAATGAATTTTGTAAATTCATGATTTGTTTGAATTGGTGATGATAAAAAATTTGGGTTTTGTTGATGATGATCAGCTGGAGGATTTGGGATTAATGATAATTGATTTGGTGTTATTGAACCTGAAGTTTCACTATCATCATCCTCTTCATTAATAGAGTTATTATTTGAGAAAAAACTTTGATCAATCAATTGATTTTTTGGATTTGGTTTAAATAATTTTTTTTTATGTGAACGAATTCCATTCTCAAAATCACTAACAATAATTGAATCATTAGAATTTTGTGAAAATTTCCCCACAACAAAATAAATTTCATCAAGAATTTTTAATTTATATTCATTTAATGATGATATTCTATTTGTTGATTCTTTTAATTTTTGTAATGATTTTTCAGAATTTCTAGAAATTGAAACTAATAAATCAATTCTTTCACTCTTGATTAAATGATCTGGTTCACAATGACGGATCTTGGAAGGCCACCATGGTGGTTTTGTTGATTCACCTTTATTATATGGATAACGAGTTTGCTTTTTGGGCTCAATTGTCTTGATCCATGCTTTGGCAATGGCTTTACATGATAATTGTTGTAATTCACGGAAACATGTTCTTAAATGGTTATGTAATTCAGTTTCTGAAGATAAATGTAATTCAAATGTTGGTTCTTCTAATGCCCTGTTCAAAGTATTTAAGAATTGATCTGATCTTGAAGTAGATGACTGTTGTTGTTGATGTTGTTGTTGATGCTGATCTGGGTTTGGTATTGGTGTTGATGAATTTGGATTTAATTCTCTTCTAAATACATCAATATATGAATTAAATGCATCACTTGAATGAAATTTAATCATTCCATTGGGGTAATTTAATAATAATGCAAAATTTCCACCTTCTTCAACAAAATTTGTTAATGGTTCTAAGATTCTTGATTCTTGATCCATATTTGTGCCTTGTTTCTAAATTTATGACTAGAATTAAACTGAAATTTGATATGTATACTGTATATACGAGTGGTGTACCTATTCAATGTAATATAATTTTTCAGTTTGTACTCGTCCAAGTTATTCCAACCATCAATAAACTTGAATATATCAAAAAAGTGGATATATAAACATTGATATAATAAAAATTGACAAGTTATAATTCAAGCATATTCATTCTTCATTGGAGCTGTGTTATAGATTTGTAGCTAAGCTGTGTAAAACATGTTTGAGTCTTTGTTAGATCTTGGTTTGATCTTTATGATTTTATTGGTTTCATCAATGTTTTGTAATGAGATTTATCATAATGTTAATGGTCATGATGATTTAGAAAATTTAGGTAATGAATAATTAGTCTAATGATTGAAACTAGTTCAAATGTGATAGTACTAAGTAGATAGTGAAACCATTGAAATCAACCATTCCAACTTCATCCTTCTTTTAAAAACTCCTTTTTGTTTGATCATCATTGAATAAATTACTAAATCTTTTGAGGTTTATTCATATAAAACAAGTTTCATAAATGCTTCATAGAAAATACACGGTGAGAATTGGCAGAGCTTCGCGAATTTTTTGATAAACGCGAAATTTTGCAATACGCGAAATTTTGCAATATGGTAATATCTGTGATGATTCTAGAATTGTACTTGATCAATTTAGATTAGACAGATTTCTAAGTCATATTATGAGGAGTAGGTTATCCAATGATTCGGATTGGAAAGAGAAGATTAAGCACAACTCCATTGATGCTTTCATTTCTAGAAAAGAACATGAATTAGTTGTTCAAAAGTATGAAAACGATGCAAAAGATCATAGGGAGCGTGTAAATAATCTTATACAAGGTCACTATGACTTGAAACAATATTACTTCGGAGAAAAAAGAAGAACTTGACAGGTATAAAGGAGAGAAGTTTAAAGAATGTGAAGGGTTGCATATCGAGATCAAAACATTAAAACTTGAAACTCAATCTTTAACTGAACAATTGAATCAAGAAATGCTTATAAGTGAATCAAAAAACTCAGCTTTTCAAAAATTACATGAATTTAGTGAAACTTCAAAGAGAAATTTTGATGAGGAAAAATTAAAATCAGTTGCTAAAGATAAGAAAATTAATGAATATGAAATAAAGATTAAAGAATTAGAGAATAAACTAATGAGACAAAGTACACAACAAAATCAATCAAGTATAACTGAAATTATATCAACCCCAAAGAATATAGAAGCACTTAGACAGCAACTAAATGACCAAAGTAATCAAATTGAAAATCAAAATTATGAAATAAAAAGACTTGAAGACGAGAAAGAATTTCTTCGAGAGGAATTAAACAAAAGTTTAAAACAAGGTAGTACAGAACCAATTTTGATACATGATGTCAATAATAGAGTAAAAAAGAAGAAGAAATCACATCGAAAGAAATTCTCAAGTTCTAAGAAATCACACAAGATCAGTATAAATTCCAATCAAACCCCAATCATCCATTTTCATTTAGATTCTAAAAAGAAGAAACCTAAATTGGACCTTGATATTCAAAATCAACCACATAATGAACCAATTACCCCATTGGATTAAACACTAGTGAGTAGTGTATATATTTTATGATTTAATGAATACTAATGAGATAATTCACATATTACATAGAATTGGTAAAACCGAAGACCAAGGCGCGAATATCCGATATTGTACAATATTTAGCTATTTCTTATAACAAAAAGCAGATAATTAAATCTGGGAATCCAACCTCCACCTAAATTAGTATACTCATCAACCACAAATTCATTGATTTAATATCACAACCTACTCTTTGTTCCAAAGATTTCCTTTATTTGGATAACAAGAATTAAATCTTTTTTTTTGAAGTCCCTGTGAAAATTAACAGATTTTATTGATTTTTTTAGCGAAGATGTGCTTTAATTGAGTGATCAGACTAACAAAGTATAAGGGATGGGGTACAGAAGGTCCAACGACATCCCAGAACAATGTCTACGCCAGCTAAGAAACCAAAAGTTGAGGATGATGATAAGCCTAAGATAGAGGATGCAGAATTTGTATCAAGGGAGGAGTATATGCGCAAAATGAAGAAACAAATTGAAGAAAGAGGTTGGTTAGAATTAAGGATCGATACAATTACATCAGACTTATTAGAATACAAACAGTTATACCTTGCCAAAAAGGATGAATTAGAGTTAATGAAATATAGCCACTGCTGTAAAAAGTATGTTCCTGGTAAATTAATTGCAGAATTACAAGAATCATATAAAGAATTGAGTGAAAAATATAATAAAACTGTGAATGTCAGTGAATCAAGATTTGTTGAGACTCAAAAACATAAGGCAAATTTCACTTCTCTTCAAAACAGGTTTTCGGAAGGAAAGAGAGAAATAAACACAGTTAAAGAAGTAAATGGTAAACTTTCCAAAGAGAATGAAGCTCTAAAGAAGGAATTGGAAGAATTGAAAAACTTGAAAGAACCAAAGGAGAAACTTCCACCAATTGATCACAACAATATAAGAATAGCATCTTCTGATACAATTTATCAAACACCGCGTGAACTTCTTCTTCGACAGATTGATGAACTAAACTCTAAAATTGAAGTTCAAGATCTTGTTATTGGGAGATTAGAAGATGAAAGAGACACACTTCGAGAACAACTAAATCAAAAAGTGAATGATAGACCACAATCACCAAATTTAAGAGCTTTAGTTGAAAAGGAATTTAATCAAATTTTGAGTCAAAAGGAATTGAAATCAATTGCATCAGAAAAACAATTAAAATTAGAAATTACTGAATTGAAAAAACAACTTGCAAAGGAAAGGAAAGATAATGAATTTAGAAGCCTGAAAATTGAGGATCTTCAAGGTATTAAAGACGATCTAACAGGTTCTATTAAGGATGCAGAAGAAAAGGATAAAAATCAATCTGACAAAATAAACAAATTAGAAAAAGAATTGGAAATTCTCAAGAAAAGTAAAATTGAATCTGGTGAGAATGTGACTATAAACCAAGCTCGTTTGAAGAAATGGGAAACAGATTATCGAGAACTTCATGATCAGTTGACTAAATTATCAAAAGATCAGGAGAATAAAATGAAAGCAAAAGATCTTGAAATTTCAAAGTTGACAAATAATAATAAGACTGCACAAACTATAATGCGGGATGAATGGGTACAAAATTCTATGACAGCTTCACAAGTAGATGAATTGAAGAAAGGGAATAAAAAACTTGAAAATCAATTGAGTGAAGAAAAGGGGAAAACTAAAGAAAAAAATGGTCAAATAACCAATTTGAAGAAAGATATTCAAAAATTTAAAAATGAGATAAAAAAATTGGAAGAAAGTAATACAGCAAAAGACCTTGATACTGCTCAACTCGAATCAGATAATGAAAAACTTGAAAATAAAA